GTTGTACGTCCTTCTTGGAGATCCGTTACGCCTCGTCCGACGCCAATTCCTTTCTCAAGGAGCAGTTGGACGCTGCCTTCTAGAAGAGCTTCACCGTGCATGGCTGCGTCGGTTATGACGGTGACGAAAACACTCGACCGCGGCGGTAAGTTCACATGGTCGGCGATAACTCGGATCGCGGTTGACGTCGTGTTGGTCTCCACCGGCGGTAAAACAGGCTTTCGCAGCGTCAGCTGGTTTGCCCCGAGGTCGATGACGGCGCAATACTCGCAGAGAAAGTCCATTCCGAGGATAACGTCCCTTCAACAGTCTTGCAGAACGACGAACTTCACAGGGCACGTCTCACCGTGGATCTCGACGCGAGCAGTGCATCTCCCGACTGGTGTGATGAGGTGCCCTCCGGCGGTTCGTATTTGTGGTCCATCCCACGGCGTGGTGACTTTTCGAAGGCGGCGGGAGAGCCTCCCATTCAAGACTGAGTAGTCTACTCCGGTGTCCACGAGCGCTGATGCGTCGTGGCCGTCGATGACGACGTTTAGGTTATTGGACACCGTTGCAGGAGCGTCGTTTCGATCTCTGGAAGCCTTCGAGTGGAGGCCCTCCGACGTTTGTGGAGGATCTTGGCGTCGGTCGTCTTTGGCAACTCCACCTCCAGGGGTCGCCGCGCCTAGTTTCCCCGGCGAGGAGCGAGGGGTGACAGGCTTTCACGTCGGGGTCGGTGCATTGGCGAAGCTGGACGTCGCGGTGACGGTGACCGGAACTCTCGGCGGGACGCAGGCTCGGGTGACTGGGGTCGTCGCAGGTACTCGTCGATCTCCCGAGGGCGTTCACCATACCGGGGGCGCGGGTCGTTTGGGTGGAACCCCCACAGCCCGGGTCGTCGGTATGGGCATTGGCGGTAGGTGTGGTTTGCTTCTCCGCAGTGGAAACACAGTGGGCGTCGGTCGGGCGTTCGCCACACGTCGGTCTTCCGGGGTGCGCGGGGCTCTTGGGCGGCGTACTGCACCTGGTCGTCGCGGCGGTGGTCGTGCTGCGGCGCAGGAGAACGACGTCGGGGCGCCGCAACATAGGCTGGAGGAGGAGGCGGTGGCCGTCGGGCCACTGCGGCGTAAGTCAGGGCGGGCTCTTCGGGTGGTGCTACGCAGGCAGGAGCCTCCGGTTGAATTGCCCGCTGGACTTCTTCGCGCACCACTTCGGCTATTGACAGCTCAGCCGGTTGGTTGGCAGCAGGCAACAGCTTCCGGAGCTCCTCCCGGACGATGTCGCGGACGATTTCCCGAAGGCCGTCGACACCGGTGGCGTTCAGGTCTAGTCGGAAAGATGCGGCGGTTCGAGGAGCAGGCACGCCGGCGAGTCGATGGTAATGGCTTGCTCGGGCTGAGAGCGCTCGCTCGATGTTAGTGGCTTCAGTCACAAAACCGTCGACGGTTGTCGGGGGATGGCGGACAAGGCCCCCAAAAATTTCAGCCTTCACGCCACGCATGAGGACGCGAAGCTTCTTCTCATCGGCTGCCTCCGGATCGGCTCGGGCACATAGGCGCATGACATCCTCTACGAAGCTGGTCACGCTTTCGTTGGGGCCCTGCACCCTTGTTTGGAGAAGGTCCTCCGCTCGCTGCCGACGGTGGTGGTTGAGGAACGTTCGTTTCAACTCCGCGGCGCAGGACTCCCACGTAGTGAAGGACGCTTCGTGGTTTTCAAACCAATGCCTCGCAGTTCCTTTAAGCGCGAAGTAGAGATTGTGGAGGCATTGTTCAGTCGTCCATCCGTTGTGGCGGGCTACACGTTCATAGTGTTGCAGCCAGCCTTCAACGTCCTCGTGGACGTCTCCGTGGAAAGGCGTTGGAGTCCTGGGTGCGGTCGGCAGGTACACAACGGCAGAAGCGGCCGGGGTCTGCGCCTGGTTGGCCATCGTCGTCTTCGGCTTGGTCGTGGGTGGCAGAGGTCCGTGTTCCGGGGGTAGACCTCGGATGCGGCGACTTGATCGGGTCTCGATCTGGTCTTCGTCGGGTCCTCCGGAGCTTGGGTTTGGACTTGTACTGCGGGAACTTGGAGGGCAGCGCTGCACGGACATGTGGTACCCCTCACCTCCACCAGAGTGTCACGGGTGGTGACCAATAAACAAGAAATAAACAGAAATAAATAAACGTTTAATGTGGCGAACTTGTGCCAAAAATAAAGAAGGAAACAGAGCGTCGCGGGCGTCGAAGTCGGCGTGTCAGCAGAGTCGAACGCTGGGGCGAAACTGAATCCTGCTTGCCAGGCGGAGCCGCTTTTGTACACGCTTTGGCTTCTGGAGCATTCGATGTAGAAGGTTCGACGCGTAGAACATTCTAACCTCGAATCAGCTAGACGGTTCTCGAATTCACCAGAACATCACACTACAGTGTAAACAAAAATGCGTAGCCGCGGCCAGGAATCGAACCCTGGCCTTCCGCGTGGGAGGCAAGCGCGATAACCGTTAGGCTACGGCCGCGCTGCCTACTTGGCGCGCGGCAATATTGGGAGAGACCAGGAAGAAATTCTGATATCCAGGCGATGATAAGGGGATAAATTTTAAAATTCGAAGTTTTGTTAAAAGACGATTATGAGGTATCTTATCGAAGGCTTTTGCAAAGTCAAGGAAGATGGCATCGACTTCTTTTTTTTTTTTTCTTTATCTTCAAGGTTAGAGTCAATGTTATGTACGAATTCTAGGAGTTGCGTTTCACATCATAGGCCTTTCCTAAATCCATGTTGATTAACGTTCAGAAGGTTATTGGACTCAGTATATTTTATGACATTTGAAAATATAATGTGTTCAAAAATTTTGGATGGGATACTAATGAGCGATATGGGACGATAATTAACAGGTGAATTTCGGTCTCCGGATTTATGTGTAGGGATGACACGGGAGATTTTCCAATCAAGATGAATGTAGCCAGAAGCAAGGGATTCACGGACAATGTCAGACAGGAAGAGAGATGATATGTGTTCAGTGTTGAATAGAATCTTGGCATTGATGAGGTCATCCCCTGTACTTGAGGAAAGCTTCTGATTTTCGATGGTTTTTGAAACACCGAACGGGTTGATAGTAATCACTTCCATTTGTGGGTGATTAGGAATATGAAGCTCCGGGACAGTATTAGGGTTTTCTTTGGTAAATACAGAGCAAAACTATTTATTTAAGAAATCAGCACACTGCTTGTCAGTTAAAGCCAGTCCTTCGATGTTAGTGAAAATGACAGGGGTGAGAGGTTTAGGATCGATCATATTCCAGAACTGTTTGGGATTATCGGACAATACTTTTAATAGGTCTTTTTCATAAAATTTCGATTTAGCTTTCGCAGTTTCTTGTCTGTATAATTTTTCACATTCTTCATATTTATACCGTGCCTCCTTAATGGCGGGCGATAGCTTAACTCTCTTAAATAACCTCTTCTTTTTGTGGCCTATTCATGGGTTGTGTCCGTCGGTTCTAATATTAACCAGGGGTACATGTTCCCAGTCTAAAAAGGATAAATTGTTTTTAAATTGGATCCAATTTTGTTCTACTGTGCGCCAGCGAAATGTTTCACGAAATTGTTCATCAAATATTTCTAATTCTGTGTTCGTTCCACAACTTCCATTAATGGATAAACCGAGGTCCTTGTTAAAAGGAACCCGATGGATCGGGGCCCCTCCTGGATTTTATATACTGTATAAAAATAAAGCACGTCTCGCTTTTTAGATAACACACTTTATTTAGTCTTTCGGGGGTTAAATTAGCAAGCGGTTTTTGGCACACAATTCAGAAACACGTTTTATGTCAGCTTGCAGAAGGGAGCAATCAGATAATGACTTCACATTTATAAAACAATTAAAATTATCAGCAAACAAAAGAATACTTGCATCGGTAAAACAGGAAGGAAGATTATTTACAAACGAAAGAAACAAAATTGGTCTCAGGATGAATACCTGGAGTACACCAGAAAACGATATGAGCTCGTCGGAATAGCTATCAGAAATGCGCAGAGTTACGACGACCGATTCGAGAGCCATGCAAGCCGAGCTTCTGTAGCAGTAAATTATGACATACGTATTGGAACGCTTTCGACATGTCAATAAAGATCGCGTCTCCTTGACACCACTGGTGCAGAGTAACTTTAAAACGAGCATACATTTGACTCAACTGACTTCCCTTAGAAACAAAACGTGTTGAGATGCAGATATCATTGGGCTAAGGTCAAAGTAAACACGCTTGTGTATTACCTTTTGCAAAACTACATAACAATGACACAGGACGGTAATTACGAACCAATGTCGAATCACCGTTTTTAAAAATGGGAGCAACTACAGACTACAGAGATTTTCCAAAGCTCGAGAAAATGCCCTTGTGCCAAGTTAAAAATCTGCATCGAAACAGGTGCGAGTAAAGAAGAGCAACCTTCTATAATAGACATAGGCATGTCATCGTGTAAGGTGACGACTGGTTATAAAAGCGGAAGTTCTCTAAATCTATAGAATTACACTTGTTCGGTGCATTTCAATCATTTAAACACGATGCCATATTAATCCTATTAACTAGTACAGGAATGTGTTCACAAGGTCGCCAATCAAGGGCACTTGCGACTCTGTTCTCATCCCGAAAAGGGGAAGGAATGGTAAAATGACGTAGTTGACTGTGAATACTAAATAGTAAGTTTGGTACCCCTGCCACACGGAAAAGTTAATATATTTTCATTAAATAATGCGAAAATTAATTAGCTCGCGGTCTTCAGGGATTATACGAGCCTTGCAAACTGATTTGTCAACCTCGTAATATAATTCGATCGAAATTACATAAATTTTGCCATGTGGCCGGGGTATAATGCAAAGGATTCAGTGACTGCACGTGGTATTCGCTGTGATGTGCAAGGGGACATTAAAATTAAAATCCGTTCACTTTCTTAATGTGCCCAAAACAAAGTTTTCGCTTTTTTTATTTTTTTGCTAGAAAAGAACATTCGTCGAAGTACAAATATTTCTTCTTTTTTTTTCAGGTTGAAACTGGACATTCGCTATCCTTGGACAAAAGAACCTCATCGCACCGGAATCGGCTACATGAAGTTTTCCCCTGAAAAGACCCTACACAAAGCAGAGGAAAACAAATACAAGAGTCCAAGATTCCTACAAAAAGAAAAGAAAGAAAAATACAAGACTCCAAGTTTCGTCTTCTTTGATGTCCGAGGGGCTAAAACTTAATTCAGCATTCGCAAGTCGACAGCTCTGTCGACTTGCGAATTTAAGGTTTAGAAAACTTTTCATTTGTTGATTTTAGATTGATTCCCCTGGCATAAGTGAGAAGAAACGCGTCGGATTTTACCGGAGTACAGAAGTTTCTTTACGCTAGCAAAGTGAAACCTGACTATACCCAAGAAAAACCACAGCATGTGATTCTTTGACGCGTGCCACAGTAAATCGCAGGACGTTAGCAAATTGTGCAATTGATTGTAATATTACATTTAAAGATACGTTTGATAAGTTAAATCGTTCGGACATATGACTAAATGCGTTGGAAACTGTGTATCCCCGAATAGGTTTTATTGGATAAAACATGCCATGGCCCTGTCAAATAGAAGTCTGCGTTGTAAAACTCCTGCGCTACCTTTTCCGTCGCTGCAAGCCGAGCTCGCTCGCTTGCTACACTGCTTGCCCAAGAGTGAAGGAAGCTCGGAAAACAAAGGGCAACCAGTGGTGAGAAAAAGTCTTTTCATAAAAAGTAGCTCGTCACGGTGCTCAAGACGTCACCGAGAGCGCTCTGGAGTACGTCACTTCCGACGCACGTGACTCGGCAGACATGGCAAAATTGAGAGGTATCGCGCAATAAAATAGATTTGTTGTTTTTTTTTATATAAAAGTCTAGCTTGCGCAAGGAAAAAAATGTTTTCGGTTCTGCATTTTATGAGCGACGAACTAATTGACATAATGATATAAATTGCGCCGTAGTCCCAGAATCGCTCTATGCCGCTTTGAAGGCAAACTCGAGACTCGAACGGCCATGCGGCAGCAATGTTTGGTAACTCCGTGTTGTGATTTTATGGCATACAAAAGAGACGGAGAGAGAGAGAGAAAAGGGAGAGAGAGGGAGAGAGGCATGGAAGTTGTTCATTTGTCCGAGACAAAGCAATTCATTGTGTGATACTGTCTGCTATGGTCTCTGTCAGCGTTCGAATTATACGGTGTGGTTTCGCAGTTGTCTCGGCTTCGGCAAAGGTTTTAAACTTTCAAATACCTTCTGGTGTCACGTGTGGGCATCGGGACTCGTACGTTGAACACTAGCTGAAAAAATCAGGCGCGACGCTGGCCAATCGCGGCGTTCAGAAATCTTGCCGACTTGCGCGCCGAGTGTCCAACTCATCCTCCTCTTGTCTTCGACAAAAAAGGATTGCCATTTAGGTTGCGGTCTGCCCAGCTTCAAACGAGTATACCCGAAGCTGTTCTACTAAAACATCCCTTGCTCGGAAAAAACAAAAAAATTAATAGAAAGCTAATTATGTTTACCGAGGAGCGTACCGGAAAGTGGGTCTACCGAAAATAAAACGCTTCAAATCTAGCTATTACCGTTCACACGAGACTCGAAAGCAACCCCGAAAGAATGAAACACATGTGCGAAAAAACGAACCAAAAGTAGGTCAACAACCTTAACACGCGAAATTATCGATCCACGCTGTTTCCAAATCGAGAAGATATTTACTGTAAGTGAATCAAAAAGATGATTGCGTTAAAGGTGCGACTTTTCGGTCGGTTTTTTCGGCAGGTGTTCTTCTTTGCTGTTTTATTTTTGTGTACCTATTCTTTGGGAGTGCTCGCTCTTTGTGCTAATTCTTTGTAGTTCTTTTTTTCTCGCTTATTTTTATACTTTGTAGAAGACCAGCGTCACACATCATTAAGGCATCCAAGGCAGTGCATGGAAAATAGATATTAAATGTCGCTTAACTCGCGAGTTTCCAATTTAGTTTTCACTCACGCATTGCTTCACTTTATGCCGGGATTGTGGTATCGGGAGAAGCTGCACGTATATTATTATTATTTATGCGCATACACAGGGTTCTCTAGCGCTACGGACAAACATTACACGTTGAGTGTTACCCAGAATCTTATGGGTTTGTTTTGCGCTAGAAACTCAGGGAAAGCGGTTTGATATTCAATGTACGCGAGACGTTAATCCCAATGCCGAACAGGTAAAGGATAAATGAAATTGAACAATAACGCAAAAGGTGATGATTGTTGACACCCTAAAGTTAACACTATACTCGTCGTCACATAAAAAAAAAAAGCTAAAGTTACGCGCATTATTTATGCAGAGCACAAAGTATAGTTATTAGAGGATTTGGATGAGGAAAGCAAAAAACGATGCTTTCGGCGTTTGAAAGATGTGCGTCCTGATCAGATAACAAAAAAATTGTTCTAAGATGCGCGCTACTGATATATTAATTTGACACATAAAGTGAGATATCGGTAAGGTTCCATGAGGAGCCGCACTTTTTTTACTACGGTTCTTAAGCTGCATAGCAGTATAGTTGTTGTTTTTTTCTTAATACTTTCATATCCAACGATTGTACCAGCAGTTGTAAACAGTGTGTGAATTAGGACCTTCTATGCGCTTACTTAATGAAAAAGGCGGATTCTATTTTTTCTTCTTGATGGTTGCTGGCGGCAAATTAATAGCGGTTTAATTTTAACGTTCGGAAATTCCATCTTGAAGTCGCTCCATCTCTGGAGGTTCTTATTCTTAATCGACTCCCCATTTCCTGAAATAAAGCTGTGTTTTTCCTCAGTTTCTGAATTAATTATGTCAAGCTGAAAATACTACCCTTCGAACAAAAACGCTTTTGAGGGTTCAAAGTCCCCTGACCCGTCGGAAGAAGGCAGACTTCCACGAAGGGTCCATGGTTGGTGACTTTCATACGCTGCAATCACTGAAATATTTAAAAACAAAACTTAAAAGAAAAAAAAATTATGCAGTCTGGTTGGGACACGCGTGTCAAGAAATACGTGAATATTCGTTAGCGCAATATTGACGGCGAGAGATATAATCGAAATTCTGCGAGAGAAGTCCATGACGTCACGGGTCATTCCGGAATGACCATCTCGGTCGTGAATGCAAAACCGCTCCCCCTCTTCTCCACGCGCTCGAAATGCCGAGACAGAAAATAGCTTGGAAAGAAGGTGACTGCCGACTAAATCGCGTCTCGCGCCGTCAATATTGCTCTAAACGTTGTTTTGTTTTGTGTAAAATTTATTTTTTAGCACGAGTATCCCCTTCAGATTGTAAAAAAAAAATCTTTTTAGGGGCCTTTTAATACATCTAGCCATGGCCTTTTCCTCTCCCCGCCCCGCTTTTCGCTGCGCCTTTTGTTTTTCAGCGCAGTTTCCGGCTAAGGTCGCAGCCTTATTGGCTGCAGAGTGATCTCAATAAGGACTCACCCCGCCCTCCATTTCTTGAACTGTCAGTGACCTGCCACATACGCGTGAAACTTACCTTGGTGAGCTTGTAAACGCACTTCGTTTGCCCACATGACCAGAGACATGAAGGGGCCAGGACTGCCGCTCACAAAAAAGAAAGTAACTATATTTTACGTGTACATTATTACAGCGTACGGTCGGTCTCCCATTTCAGGTGCGGAGACACTGGTTTATCCCGTACATGAAAAATATGTCCCGTACAGTACCACTGCTAGACTCGAGTCTTTAACCTGCCTCACGCAGGACACGACTTCACCCTGGTACGGCACTCATCCAAATCGACACAGGTAGGGATGCTCCACATGCTTTGAGCTAATGTGCGGATCCCACTTGACCATCGACCCCCTATCACCCCTAAAGCCCCTCGATGTGTTTGAGTTCTTGCAAACAGCGCAAAATGCGCCAGTGCACAAGGCTCCTATCTCGTTCGGCCCTTGGAAGCAAATGACGACGGAGCACCCGCTCCCGGCACGTGTCTGGCGTGTTTCCATTTCGGTATTTTAAGCGTGAAATTTATCGAGGGACTTTAACATGGAGTTATTACAATAAACGCTACAGGATAAGGTGGAGCTAGTGTGCTGTTGCATTTTAAAGCAGACAGCAACCAGTCTAGATTTGAATTCCGGTAACGCATTTCTATTGGAAACAGAAATGCGTTTTCTCTTTGCGGTAGATTATAAGAGCAAATACTGCTTCGTGCTGTGACAGAATAAAAAGTTTGGAACGTTTTACAATCGAATTTAGAATTTATGGCGTCGAACACTCCGCTAAAATAGCCCAATAGGCGTGTATAATACATGTTGACGTTGCAGACTGCTATTATATAGGGTACGTATTTCCGCAGAGTTAATGCTATGAAGCACACAGAGTGAATCAACTTGACCAAACACCAAAAAGATGCTAATATATGCCAAATCAAACAATCAAAAGAGACGACAAGAACGAAGCATGGAGTTATAAAACGAAGAACACGTACTGGATCAGGAACAGACTGTGCATGAATTTCCGTCATCTGAATGCTATTACAACTTGAATAAACTCTCCGCACTTTTTAATTCTTCTTTTTGCTTGAATTGATAGCTTGTATTGATATATCATGCGGTACAACCTAAACCTGGGCCCCAATATTTGCTAACACTAACATCGCTGAGTAATAAAAAAAAACCTTACTTAAATACATTACACTTTTATAATGTGAATACAGCTACATAGTGCCCGTTACGAGTAAAAGAACAACACTGATTTTTATTATTCCCTGCGAAGAGAAAAATATCATGTACGTTTTTCCATAGCAATCACACAGGAAGACGAAAAGTAGACTGGCTGCTATGTGCTACAATTTGCAACCGGAAGTCCCGTAGACACTAGCGCCAGCTGAGCCTCTAGCATTTATTGTAATAACTCTATGGACTTTGATCACCCTAACCCCAAAGAATCACATATAGCGCCCGGGCAGTGAATAGGAGGCGCCTCAGTCGACTGCTAATCTGCGCCGCTAATAGAAAAAAAAAAAACTTATTTTCGAAAATTAATGATTAAATAAAGTTAATTACAGGTATGGGTTCTAGTGCACCCAGTTGGAGCCCCTACTCCGGGGCCCCCTACGTGGCGGCCACCAACTCAGCAGGGTCCACCAGCCATTGCTGGTGGCATGACTTTCGGAAAGCCATGCCACTAAGCGGTTGGACACGATTGCTGCGTCACAGTTCGGAATGGAGTTTGGACATTCGAGCTCGTGATCCGGTCTAAAGATTGCGACCACGGGCCGTGTCAGAGCTTCGAAACTTCCCCATAAGATGGCGCCACCTATGACAGGGATGCAGACTTTCTGGAGACGACTACTGTACCGAATGGAGAAGTAAGGCTTCTTTGCAGCCTCTAGTGACCCCCAGGTCCACCACACCAGATAAGTGGGAGCGCGAGATGCGGACGAGGGTGAGAGAAGAAGATTGGGCAGAAAGGGCGCAATCAAAATCGACGTTGCATGTTTACCATCAATATAAGAAGGAAATTTCTTCGGAATCTGCGCTTTATACGGTGTTTTCACATGACGTCAATTCGCCATTTTGTTGTTAGATGTATGATAGAACGTAAAAGCTTTTCTGCACCGCCAATTTGAGGGTGTGATGTAAATTTTCGGAGTGCTTGCCTTCTCCACGCGCCAGACTGCTCGTAAAAACAAAATGGTGGACGAAATGACGTCGGTGAAAACACCCTGTAACAGCCGCCTGGGCAGGCGCCTGCTCTCCGAGGCGCCTCCAGGAGCGCTACGAATGCAGCAGTGCCGTCAGCGCTGCGACCACACCATATCACCAGTGTGTCAGGTAAGTGGTGAAGCAGATGAAACGCTCGAAGATGTCGTACAGTTGTGCGCCGGACTGCAAGCGGCACCATCAACGGAGTGCAGGCCAGGGTGTAAGATAGACAGGTGGTGAAACGAGAGCCAAATGAGCGACCGGATTGTGTCCCCCTCGGTTTTCTCTTTTTTTGTGGCGCCATCTATGTGGAGCACCGCGAACTCTCACTCCGGGTGGGCGAACGCTGGCGGCCGGTTAAACTGACGGAGAAGGTTCCTCATGGATTTTCAGTAGAGGACTGTCGTGCTCTCAGTTTATTTTGCGCACTCTCCCATAGAGTTCCATGCAAATTCGATTCCAATTTTTTTCTTCTCGCCGCAGCGCCATCTGTCGCAAATCGGGCGTACCCGCAAGCCACCCGCGAGCAGACGAGTACACAATCCGGTCACGGCGCTGCAGTAGGTTACTATGGGCCGTTTCCCCACCTGTCTATCTTACACCCTGGTGCAGGCAGACAATCCTGGAGCGATCACTGGTGGGGGCTGGGCTTCGAGTCTCAGAGCCTGTGTTATCTATACTTGCAGGAGCAACGTCAATGGCGCTGACGCTACGCCGGAGACCAACGTAGTGTTCAGCAATGGAGCGGTAGAACGCACTAAAAGGTGACTAGAGAATTGGTGGCTAAGAATTCAAAAAAGGGGCCCCGTAAATCCCACAAGTTAAGTCCCAGACACCATGGTACCGCCCGATTTAAAGGGAAGAGCTACTGATCACCAGCAACTTAATCACTTGGTGTTTATTACAAGTAGCAAGCTGAACTTCCGGAACTGGAAAACCCCGAATATGAGGTAACAAAAGATGGCAACACCAACACCATCATGTCCCATTTTTGCTGCCGTCTTCAAGTCTTTTTTTATTAGTTTGCTTGCACCCGTTTCGAAATTTGGCCTGGCAACCTTGACTACTATCGTCATCTCACTGGATAAAATTTCTGCCAAACTAATGGCAGCCTTCTTGAGGCAGGTGAAGGAAGAAGTTGAAGATTCTACAAAAGGAAGATACATTAATCATATACGTTAAAGATGTCGGTACAACACGACGCACTAATTAGATACAAATACAGTAAGCGTTTACTTCACAGTATTGTACAACCAACCTCCTGTTACAAGTTTGTTTCTAGTCTTTTGACGGCGAATATTTAACTGAAGGATTTATTGGTCGCCGCTTTTACTTGCCAGTTCTTATGTTCACATCATCCAAACTGAAACAAATCAAGAAATAATTATGAGGGGATCGAGGAACCAATTCTCATCTGCCTTTGACGTGCGGAAGTGACGGTGCCCGACGAAACAGAGTTTGTATGACCGCCATCAGTCTGTCGAGAGTGAAGCTGCTTTTAGGACCACCAGATGGCACTGAATTTTGAAATGAGCCTATTTCAGTAAAACTAAGCTACGTTTGTTGCAGCGGCTAATTACGCGCGGAGGCAACGAGAAAAATAAAACACCGTTTATTCTTGCGCTTTACGAAAATCGGGGCCCTCGGTCGGAATTGAGGTTTTCCCCGGACAGCTCCAGCTCCCGGAACATGTGCTTGCAACTGGGCGCGGAGAACGCCGGCCGTTTCTTGTGGCAGTGCATCGTCATGCCGAAGTGGTCGCCGTGAAGAGCCATATCCACGCTGAAATAAATGAAATAAGAAAAAAAAAACGGAAAACAAGTTGTAGCAATGGGATATAAGATACTTTTAGCGAACCGTTACCGTGTTCCAAGTGCCGCACTACCGGAGTCTTTGAAGCATGCTTTTACGCCCGTGCCCCGGTGATACCGTGACCGCGGGGCGCGCGCTCAAAAGCATGCTTCAAAGGCTTCGGTAGTGCGGTACTCGGAACACGGTAACGGTTTGCTAAAAGTCCCTAGCTTTTGCAGCACGAAATCGACTACAAAAAGGGTTTAACATTACTCTCTGCATCGTTTCACCTTAAAGCGAGGCCAACGAGAAACGCCGGCCGTCCGTTATTAGAGAGTTTTCGTAGAGTAGTTTACGAAACCGTTTTTGCACATCCAAAACGGTACGATGCACCCTTTGGTACAAACTGCGCATGCGCAGATCGTACCGGAGGGCCAACCTTACCGTTTCGGATGTGCAAAAACGGCTTCCCAAAACTCCTTAGCAAAGCTTTCCGATAACTCCGATAATGCTTTCCGGTACTCCTCCACCGCCTTTGCGCGTGCATCGTATCGTTATCGGGTACCGTTATCGGGGAAATTGAACGGTATCGGAACGATCTCCTAGAACCCTCTATTACCTTCGCGCTTGTTGATTCGTGATTGGTTGTTCGGCATTCTTATCGGCTAACACCGCAACCCCATTGGCTGCGCAGCCATATTGAGATTTTCGCCACGCCTTACCCTTCTAAAGCTACCGGCGACTATAGGGGTAGAAAATGAGAGAGAGGGGGAAAAGACGAGAGCGCGCAGGGACGCCAGAGAGTCAAGCTCTGGCTGGAAGGATTAGTGGGTACGGTCGCCTGCGTCTTCAGTACACGCTGTTCGATAGCGTTCGAACGACGAACGCTGACGTCCGGCTTTCGGCGTTAGAACGCGTCCGAACAGGGAGTAGAAAGAAAGGAAACTGCCTTTCGTCTACCCACCGATCATTTCATGCAGAGCTCGGCTCTTCGGCGTCTCTTTCCTCCTCTCCCTCACTTTCTGCCCGGATAGGCTTCACGGCGCTCAGATCTAAGGTGAAAGTTGCGTCGTACGGAACGGGTTCCAACGAACGGCTTCCTTGGAACGCGTTCTTTTTTTGGTGGGAGAGGGGGACGGACAAACGCCGCCGTTCCACGTTGTGGCATTTGAAAGGGGAGCTCGTGAGGTTTTCTAAGAAACGGCAGAAGGACTGGCGTTGCTTTTTGCATTACTAGGTAGGCACTAAGGCTTTTTAATGGCGATTATTTCAGCCTCCGACTTCGAGGGACGGGGAAGTGTCCGAGAGATAGTCAAAAACGAAAGAACAAATGGAATCCCAGCGACACGACACGAAGTTCGATGTGGATATTTTCACTCGCTTGTTCTGTTTCATTTACAGATTATCCGGCACAATATTTCATAAAGCACCCAAATGTGACATAAAGTAACGATTTGCTCCAATCTTACAAAAACATGAAGGCTTTATGATGATGATGATAACGAGAACGCGTTCCTTTTGAACCATCGAAGAAAAATTGGGAAGGAACGAGAAACGAGCTGTCGTTCCCGTTTCTGAGGAACGTGTACACAACTGGGTGAAAGAAAGCTTTGCCCTTCTTTTGTTCTCTAATAGCAGTGAGGTAAATGCACAACGAAAATCGAAAATAGAATTTTAATACTGATAGTCTTTCCGCTGCTTCATGTGTGTTTTGCGTCACCGTCTCAAGTGAACACTGAATGAAGAAACACCGCGGCCATAACTTCTTTTTTTTTTTTATTGCTTGTCTTCCGGACGGGCACTGGGTCTGGATAGATGCATCTCGCGAGTATTCTCTCAAAACACTTTAGGACATTCCCCGAACCTCTCACCACACCCAGCGTTGATATCTTCAGTATATCCGCAAGATGTATTCGCGTGAACTAAGTCCTCGGGTCAACGGATGTGAGTATAAATAATAAATTATTTTCTTGTTTCTGCTGAAATATGTCAGATTAATCTACTACCGAGTACCGAGGGTTTCTGCGGGGACAAAGATTATACTTTTTTCGTTATGTATGAGACGCATGCCAAGCTCCTTTATAGAAGGACGTTCATCACTCACACGGCCTTGGAGTGATCGATGAGATACTTTGGTGCGGCTTCTGGATTTGCCGCTTCACATATGGCCTGTAAAAAGCAAAACATAGTCAGGTTATTCACGCCCCACAATTAGCGTGGATGTGGACAAAACAATAAATTCAACGATCGTTTCCGTAACCCACTGGTTCTCAAATAGGGGTCCGCGGATTCTTTGGGGTCCGCGAGGGCATTCTAGGGATCCGCGAAGATCTGCCTCATCAGTCAAGCCCAGCAATAAATATTGTCTTTTCCCAGATTGAGAAGAAATGTCCCTAATTTCCGGGTGAGTTTTCTCGTGTGTATGTTAAAAAGAGAAGTCTACTTCACACTAGCCCTTCGTTATATTCATTTGTTAAATCGCTATCCTAGTTGACCTATATCTTTCCCTTCCACTCACCGCGAAAGGGGTCCTCCATCATCTCCGCCGATCAACAAAGGATCCGCGAAACATCAATGGTTGACAACCACTGCCGTAACCCATCAACCGAAAATGGCGCAACCACTGCCGTAACCCATCAACCAAAAATGGCGTTTTTTTATTATCATATTCTTTAATTGTATTACAACTCCACCTTTCAGGCGCCAAACACGGCAAAGACAATAGGAGATAAGAAGATATATTCAAGCATAGGCGTAGACTATGGGGGGGGGGGGGGGGGGGGGGGGGGGGGGGGGGGGGGCAACGGTGCTCGTGGCCCCCCTAGTGAAATCTGGGGAGGGGAACAGAGCCCCCCCCCCCCCCCCCCCCCCCTGGGCCCGGGCCATGACCCTTACCGAGACGCTGTTTACGTGCCATGTAACGAGCTCCTAGTAGCGTCATGTAAACAAAATAACGCGCACGTTACCTTTATTGACAAAATACATGGGAAATGGAATTCCAGCGTGTTTTCGTTAGCTTCAATCTCCAGTTCTGGCGAAAAAGTAACGCGCAGCACCCCCCCCCCCCCCCCCCCCCTTTCCCGGGAAAATGGAAAGTCTACCCCGCTGTAATCAAGGCAGCACAATACTGCCCCGATCGCGTTTCTTTTCTGTCGAGAAAGGCATGGTAAGCGAATTCGATAAGAAAGCCGTTATCTATGTATAGAGCCTGAGAATACTAAATTGCCATGACCTTAGTAGATTTTGTGCCATAAACCCCAAATCAATCAATCAACACTAAGTTGATTATTCAATTAAAAGATTACAATTAAGATAATATTCTTCGTCATTGTTATTCGTACTAAAGGTCGTTTCGTACATAACGCGAAACCCAGGAATTACACTCTAAAAATTAGTCCGTAAGTTTACTTTTCTACACAACACGTACTACACAACACATAGACACTCAATCCCAGTGAAGAAATAAAAGGACCCTCAGCGAATGACGAAGCGTATAATACGATTAGATCTAAAAAATGCGATGTCCCCTGTCTCTGCGCACATCTCGGTTTCTTTTTTTTTTTTTTTTTTGTCTAATTGTTATTTGAGTTGTGTCATATTCTTGTGATTCGTCGTCTCATGTTCAACAGGGAAGCGGACTTAGAGTCTTTTTTTTTTCAGAGTGTAGTTCTAGTCACATATCACAAGACATGAGAAAGCATGGAGAGAAAAACTGCTGTAGTCTAAGCGTATTCTTGGACATTTAGGTAAAGTTCTCGCGAGAAGCTTGCTAAATTTTTCAAAGAACACGCGACGTAGGAAGTGTACTGCGCGCGGATGGTCAAGTCTGCTGGGTTAATGACCTGCGCCGCAGAGGCATAGAAGATGGCCTCCTCGCTGAAGAACGGCAGTCCGGCCAATCGCATCTGGTACGACAGGTCGAACGTGGCATGGTTTTTACCATGCCGCCATACCTGCGGGGAGAAATGAAAATGCACGGCCGAAAGTGTTGCAATCCTTAGAAAACAAGATATAGTTGGTGGCTTCTTGTGATTGCAATAACCTGACACACAGGAGCAGGCAGAAAGGGGACGAAGGAACATAAGGACTCGAACAATTTCAGTGCTTGTCACCTATTCTGTCCCCTTCTTTGTCTTAGATTCCTGTACTCGTGTGACGATGTCTCAAGTGCGTTCGTGGGCTCCCAAACTCTCGAGCTTGAGACTGTGAGGGCGACACAAACAGAGCGACAAACGAAAGTCCCGAAGGGTTGGTAATCATGCGTCCTAGCTTAGAGTGTGTATTCACTGAACGCCATAATTGAGGGCGATGTTTAGAGCGCATGCTCGAAACGCGCTCACATTAATAGCCTGCTAAGATCGGCCATCCTGATGGTGCAGAATGCACATTGCAGAAGAACTGCGGAAGCTAGCCGTCAACAGTCGCTCAGCAGCCGCGCACACAGCTATGTTCACCAGTCAGTACTCCCTATACTTCGTTTTATTTTGTGCGAGCGTAGCAGCAGCTGCAAGAGCGATCTCGACGCTTTCAGCGTTTTTGCCCAGCTAGCGTGAACGTGCAGCGCAAGCATCGTTCAGGGCAACATGCTCGTGCACGCAGCTTCCGTGTGGCTGGCACATAGAACAAAAAAAAGAGGGTTTTGTGTATGCTTTTACAGCCTAGAACGTAGTCTGCCTCAACAGGCGCCTTGTCTCCCTGCTGCAGACGATCAATTTAGCCAGTGCATTACAACCGCACGGGCTGCATACAAACTATGCGGGGCGCAAGTTCGTCTGCTTCTTTTGCAGGGGTTGTGTTGACGCCAGAATGTCGAGCTCTGACTGGCCCCGATGGAGGGATAGTGGGTAGACCTCAATGCTAGCTACCTCGAGGTCTACCCACTACCCTTTCAATCAAAGCCAATCGGAGATCGGCGTCATTCTGACGTCACCACAACTCCTGTGCAAGAAGCAGACTGACTTGATCTCCGCATATAGTTCCGCCACATAGCTTTGCCTGGTACAGACAGTTCCGCTGGGGGCTCTCGCTCAGAGTGACTGAAATCTCAGAAGCGATACAGTCACCGGGAGTGAGAGCAGGAGGAGGACTACACAATCTTCATTTGCCAAGGTTAAACCTCTCAGTAGGCACATTTCGACGCCCTGCTGCTCAGGATGTATTTAATGAAAACACTAAAGATGCCGAGCCTTTAACGTTGGAATCTTCTTGAAGATTGAGTAAGTAAGCAGTCGAGATGGTTGATGTGACACATATTTGAAGAAGAAAAAAACGGACACGAGACACGTTTAGTGTTTGTAACTTTTTTTGTCCGTCGTCTCCGTTTTTTTATTTCTTTTAATTGGGTGAGTTTTTTGAAGTTTTGCTGCACTCTTTGAAGTTTCGCTGCTAAAAACCAAGAATATCTTGTGCGCGTCGTACTCACTTTGTAGGTGAGATACATCGCAGATCTTGTCAGGAACATTGACAAAGCCTTATCACGAACGTTCTGAAAAAAGATTAAACGTCGCACTATTTCCGCACAGATTCTAACAAAGAAAGATAAGACAATACTTAGCGAGCCTGTTCTACTTTTTTAACGCATTTTCAACTGGCTGCATTTGTGCCTGCAGCTTGAGGATGTGTTTAGGTGGGTATACTCTCCCCATATGATATATTAGATCATTTCGTTTCCAGCGGTCGTAGTATAAACCAGTGCCAAACTGGAACCGAACCGAAACGAAAACCAGAACCGAACCGTTATTTTTAGCCAAACCGGAACTGCACCAAACCGAAATTTTCGCCGCCATTTTGGAACTGAACTGGAAAATATACGTAACGGTAACCGGTTATAAACGGTGCACGGTAGTTGTTCTTTTTTATGTTAGTATTACAAAATTAATATTTGAGAATAAAAAATGAAAGCTGTATTTATATTTATTGATCAAATCGTCATATTGCCACGCACGTCACTGAGGGAGCGCGTACGTGGCCGAGTCAATAACGAAAAAACAAAAGCGTACGTGGCCGAGTGGTTACCCTGCTTGGCTGTCGCGCGGAGGATCCGGGTTCGATTCCAGGGAGTGGAATATTCTTTTATTTATTTTTTCTGGTTAGCGTTCTTGCAAATTTGATAACATTCTCGTCTGATCGAGTTACGAATGTTACGTTCTTGCCATTTCCGAATGGAAACGGCAAGAATTGGAAGCAATGCAAATGGCAAGAATTGGATTTCCGAATGGAAATAGCAAGAATGGAAAGGTATTTCCGAATGGACATGGTGAGATGTTTATTAGTGTTCTAAATAATATGTTACAGCTGTATTTTCTATTGTACGTCCCGAAAGAGTTTTTTTCTCTACCTTTTGTTTCTTGGTTTATAGTTCGTGTTATGCCAACAATATGATTTTTTTTTGTTTTTTTCTTCACTTGACCATAATGTTCTTTTCCATTTCGTGCTTCCCTTTCTTCCCTATGTAATTCCGGAAAACGTATTTCGGATAAATAAATATGTTACGATGTTTTTCAGAAAAGGAGCATCGAAACTGCGAAGGTGGGTTTAATTCCAAAAAGGTTCGCCGACCGAGCTCGCGCTGTTGCGCGCCCCGGCTATTTGCTATGCGCGCTCTTCGTCCCCTTCACAGTAGCATTACTGCCCCTTCCCCTTCTTTTTTTCGTGGTCATCCTGACCGCAGTGATAATGTAAATGCAATGGGGAGTATCTGGACAGATGTACGGTCGGAGGTGACTCGACGGTAGTCTGTTGCTCTACGTAATGTCGGACAATTTGTAAAACAGCGCCTCCACTAGCTTTTTTTCTGCTTTCATCGCACATGCGCAGTAGTGTCAACGTTGTAGCGTATAACGTAGCGGGGGTACCAAAACAATATACTTAAACTCTCTATTATTTCTATAGAAACCGGAGACACGGAACAATAAAAAAACTGACAAAATGACCTATTATTAATAATAATATTATTATTATTATTATTATTATCATTAATAACTTGGTAATTCTTCTCTCATGAATAAATATTATTATTATTATTATTATTATTATTATTATTATTATTATGACACGTCTGGACGCCAACTGTTCTTCGGCGGACGTCAGAGAACTTCTCGGACAATTCCTTGGCCCAAAGGAGCTTCGATGCACAAAGCTGAAGACACGCTATGGTGGGTACTCTTCATTCCACGTCGCTGCTGTGGACGACGACATTGAGGCATTGTTTGACCCGAACATCTGGCCGGAGGGCTGCCTCTTCAGGGAATTTCAGGGTCGGCTGACGGGAAGCCGCGTGCATGATGAGAATGAACGTATAGAGTGATCCCCAACCATCTTGCCTGGAAATGACTAGCACGCACATTTATTATCAAAACGTTCGCGGCCTTCGTACTAAGGCCAGTGACTTCTTTTCTAATGCTATATGTACTGACTTTTCAATATTTTGTATAACAGAAACCTGGTTATGCCCAGAAATACTGTCTTGGGGGTATTTTTCGTCGGATTTCCTTGTGCATCGCAGTGATCGTGATTTATCTCGCGGAAAGAAAACGGGAGGCGGTGTCTTGATGGCAATCGATGGGTCTTTGAGGTGCACCAGGCGCGCCGATTTAGAGACTTATTCGGAATCTGTGTGGGTAGAGCTGGAGTGTGATAATCGAGAACGCGTTCTGATAGGTACTTTTTATTTTCCTCCCTACATTGAACCCGAGGAGTTTAATGATTGTCTCCTTGGAATTGAGGATATAGCAGACAAACTGGGTGAATGCAAACTATTAGTAATTGGCGATTTTAATGTACCAGGTGTCTGCTGGGAAACTCACAGTGCTGTTTCGAGTAATTATTACGGTGCAAAGAAGGCCGGTCATCTTGTTGACTTTGCCTCTTTCATGGCCCTGAATCAGTTCAGCAGGGTTAAAAATAGTAAAGGCGCTATGCTTGACCTTTGTTTCTCAAACATTGATAACGTTTCTTAACTAAGAGTGAATTTCCTTTAGTACCGACAGACAAATATCACCCTGCACTTGAGGTGGCTATAACCTTGAATGTACCTGTCAGCCGTATACCGGCTGCTAGTCTCACTTACCTAGACAAACTGCATAACTTCGCTGCTGGTGACTATGTGGGATTATATAACCACTTTTCTACGTTCGACTGGTCCCCTATCCTGCAATCATCTGACGTCAATTATCAGGTCCTTCAATTCACCACGGCGGTGCAGGAGGGAATGGATCATTACATTCCTCTAAAGAAGCATACCAATTCAAAATTGCCCTCGTGGTTTTCTCCGTATTTAAAAAAGTTGCTGAAGAAAAAAAGCTTCTCTCATCGCAAATTTAAAAAGACTGGCAGTCTCAGGTGGGAGGCTGAGTTCGTTCATTATAGACGCCTATGTAAGCAACATCACAGGATTGATCATAAGATATATGTGGAGTCAGTGGAGTCCGAATTGAGGAGAAACCCAAGAAAACTCTACCGACATGTTCGTTCTCGAGGAGGAAAATTGATACATCCTGATATTATACTTAATGAGGAGAATGTGACCACGTCCAGTGTATGCGATATATTCGCGCGTCATTTCAGTTCTGTATATAAACACAATAGGAGTGGGTACCAACAGCCGCCATCCCCTAGCGTGAACGAATCCATTTCCTCCCTGCCTGTGGATGAGGGAATGATTCAGGAATGCATAAAAAAACTGAGGCCTACCATGTCCACAGGTCACGATGGTATTCCAGCAACACTTGTAAAAGCATTTCACGAAATTTTTACACCCATCCTTTATGATATTTTCAACAACTCCTTAAGAGCAGGAGTGTTCCCTGATATGTGGAGGAAGTCAGTCGTAGTCCCAGTCTACAAGTCTGGAAGTCGTACCACTGCATCAAACTACAGGCCAGTGTCTCTGCTGTGTACATTTTCGAAGCTTTTCGAAATGGTGGTCCACAAAACATTGTCCTTTCGTTTAAAAAATGTATTAAGTTCCAACCAACACGGATTTGTAGCAGGACGCTCGACAACAACAAATTTGATTTCATTTATGTCCATTGCATCCAAAGTTGTGTGCCAAAGAGGCCAGCTCGACGTGGTCTACTTTGATCTGAGTAAGGCGTTTGATGTGGTTGACCATTACATTCTTTTATCAAAACTTTGTGGTATTGGTGTCTTTGGAAAGCTACACAACTGGTTTCAGAATTATTTGTCTAATAGAACATGTGTTGCTCGTGCGAACGGCGCGTATTCTTTTACGTACACGGCCACGTCTGGGGTACCTCAGGGATCAGTTCTGGGCCCGCTTCTTTTTTCTATTTTTGTGAACGATGTGTGTAAGCAGATTGTAAACTCGTTTTTTTGCAATATGCTGATGATATTAAGATATTTAAGGAGATTAGAACTATCTCAGATTGCAAGTTTCTACAAGAGGACATAAACTCATTTAGCAAATGGTGTTCACTGAACGGTCTCCTACTAAACAGCTCGAAAACCAAGGTCATGTCCTATAGTCGCAAAACGCAAACGACGTGTTTACCTTACAGTGTTCCCTCAGACGTATTGTGCCGTTCTAGTGAAGTGCGGGACTTGGGAGTGCTTTTTGACTCCTCCTTGAGATTTGATAGCCATGTGGCTCGTATAAGTACCTGCGCCTTGCGCGCGCTCGGTATCGTTTGTCGAACGACTAGAGTATTTAAAAACCCCACAACGTTTGTAACCCTGTACCGCTCTTTGACAAGGTCTCAACTCGAATATGCATCTCCTGTATGGAATGGCAGTTGTAAAACTACCCTCCTAAGGCTTGAGCGAGTGCAAAACAAATTTTTATCTATTTATCGATATCGATATCTGCGAGATGAAACATCTCTATCAAAGGGTAACAATGTATTGGACGTCCTACAAATGAACAGCTTATATCACCGTCGAGAAAAGGCAGATCTGGTTCTCCTTTTCAAAGTCCTTCATGGTATGGCCGACTGTTCAGAACTGCTCTCACAGATATCTTTGCGAGTTCCTCGGACAGCGACCCGTTTGACAACATCTTTTTACTCTCCTCGAACGTTAAATATCTTGGACCCGATGTTTCGTATGTGTCGGGCATATAATGGCATTGGAAGTGATCTTGATATTTTTTGTGTGACTGAATTTGTCAGATCTCTCAGATTCTTGTATCGGTCTCTCTGAACCTGTCGGTGATTGTGATGTTATTATATGTTATTTTAAGAAGGTATATTCGTTGTTGTGGTAGTCTTCCTACTCTGCGTTCGGACCCTGTGTTCCGTTCTTTCCTTGTTGTGTATATCGTATCTTTGTGTCAGCATGCGTTATATGTATCATATCTTTTACTCAATGTTTTGAGTTTTTTATGTTTTTTTCCTACTTTTTTGTAGTGTGTAAGTTTCGGTGTGCCAGCACCAAGACCGCATGGTCGTTCCTGGACACCTAATAAAAATTATTCTTGATTCTTCTTGATTCTTGATTCTTGATTATTATTATTATTATTTTATTTTGATGGCGGCTACATGTCTGTGCACTTCCCGTCCACTGAATATTTGGATGGTAAGTACCCTGGTCCTTATATCAGACAGGCACAAGTTGAGCAGAAAATTCAAAATCGAGACCTGCTAGCGAGCAGACGTCCATGAAATCTGAGCCGAAACAAGCAAGCGGCGCTATGAGTTTGAGCACGTAGACGATACATCCTACATAACAGCGTGTAGCTAGGCACTTAGCGTCTTGGTGAGTGCCATAAGCAAATTAATAAAGGTGACGTTAGCGATTCATAGACGCAGTATGCTATTCCGTCCTCTGATGACTATAGCTCGCGTTCAGATCTAGCAGGATTGTACTCTCGTGGAGGCACCGGGCCGCGATTGACTTACCGGTAGCTTTTGGAAGCACTTGACCCTCTTTCTGATTTCGTTCACAGTTTCAGCCGCCGCAATCACAAAACCCGGTACCAACATAGGTGGAGGAGGTGCTGTCCTGTAGGTCTTGTCCTTATACGCTGTCCAACACAGACAAAAACGATGCGGTTCATAATTTGCCTACTTTCTTTTGTCGTGCGACGCCAAATGAAATCATCGAAAACAAGCGCAAACAAAATGAAACTCTTTCAAATGACCTACAGACATATAAGGAAGGTGGTCGATGCCGGTGGGAAGAAACGTGGCGGCCAAGTTTACATCGTTCAGACCGGCCAATGTTTTAATGGAAAAGCGCGGGAACACAAGCTTGCCGTACGCAATAATTCGGGTGGGCATCTTGCGGAGCACCTCAAAACCGATGTTAGAGCGCACAAGGTTTCTTAAGAGGGAAAATAAGAAGATGGAAAGGGAAACAATCGATGCTTTCCGCTTCAAAAAAGCGGCTGACAAATGCGTAAGCATGCCATCCCTTTATATGCTGAACAAAGCAGTCGTGTTTCTTGATGAATGCGTGTAATGAGTGATCTGAACCTTTATCATGTTGCTTGGGAATGTATATAGGTGACGGTGATCGACAGCTTTACGATGTTTGGTGTTACATTAAATTAGTTGGAAGGTGGCGCTTGACCGCGTCGTGCGTGCCTTTTTTTCTTCCTGATTCAGTGCACGCCTTTTAATCTTTTTCACAGGAAACTTCTAGAGGCTCTCTTAGTAGAAAGACGTTTCGCTAAAGGCTTCTTCGCTTCTTCAAAAAAAGTTGTCGCTTTTCCAAGGGGACTTGCTACGAGAAGTAGAGCTTTTAATAAGTATTTTGCGAGGGTGCTAAAACCAAACAAAAACAGGAGCCTAATCGCCCGGAAGCCTCCAAGTGGCTGCCGTACGTTTCCACCAAAGGCGTAGCTGATTTGCTACCTTGAAGAAGCTGATTTCCTTAATGTGAGTTGAAAGGAGCTTTGGGAAGTTATTTACAAGTCCCACTTTTAAAGTTTATTTTCAAGAAGTCTCGGAGGATGACCAGGATGCTCCTATCGTGTTCATTTTTCAGAGGTGCTTGAAAAGGAATCCATTGAAAGCCTCAAAATGGACCATTTTAACTAAAAACCTTTCTTTAGAGTTCTAAAAATACTTCGCCTCTTTAGAAAAACCTTTGAAGTTTCCGAAAAGTTCCTTTTGGGGCCCTCTTGAAAAAAAAAAATAGAAAGGTCAAAACCAAATTATTTTTAGCGAATCGCGCGGAAACTGATCTCCATCAATGCCTACCAAACTTCTGGGGGTTCAAACCAGCCATACACACCGTTTGACGCGTGCGTAAAGTAAAGCGTATTTGGACTAGGTCCTACGTAATCAATCAGAAAGCGCACGCATACAAAAAACTCCCTGTCCGCGCACTTCCCAGCAACCCCGTCTCAGGGGATTGTTGAAGATTACCACCCAATTTTCGAGTCCTTAAACAGAACTTTTACCATGAGAATCGGCTTGTCTCGAGGCTCAGCGTCCCTCCAATCTCAATGAACAATTTGCCTTGGATAACAGCAAAAAACTAACTTCTTTTTTTTTTTTTTTTGCAGACGCAGGGTTGTGAAAATTTGTTTTGTGCATCGGCAGCTTCTCAGAAAGCAATCAGTATGTTCTCGCAGGGTTTACCCTAATTAAGGAACAATCCTGGCGAACAAAACTGTTTTTTTTTTTGTAATGCTTGAATGTTTTTTTCTTTTTTCTTTTTTAAGTGAAGGTGATTACAATAGTTCCGGCGCTGCTTCCAGGCGTATAATAGATTAACTCATGTCCTTGACGCCACACGAGGGGCGCTGCTGAAAAACCGGATAACAAACTTACTTTCGAAGAACAGCTTCCCGCGTAAGTGACATTTTCACCGCACGCGTGTGAGCAGATGCGCTTATGAATGACTTTCTGTTAACTGGGTGTAGGCAAACGTTCCATCAGGGCGTGGAGAGTCCCGATCATCTTATTATTACAGCTCCGCAGCCCATGGCATTGCGGTCTTTCCTAATCAGAAGGTCGAGGAACCGATCACGAGGCCAAAAGCCTGAACTTAACAAACCGCGCCACGCGTTCCTTGGACTTTCAGTGACCATTGTAAGTAAAACTTGACCAAAGAAAGTTGGTATCAAATGACCAACGAATGCCCACGAACCTTTCAGTTTGAGGGCAGTCATCTTTACAGGGCGGGACGTTATTTTGAAATTTTTTTTTCTAACCTTCTAGGCTAAAAGTCGTTACGTTCCTTTCTTTTTCAGTGGTAGCATTGGCAGTTTTTGTAGAACCTGTTTCCCCCTCCGCTAAGCCCCCCAGCAACGAAGAAGCCCCACTGCGCATGCGCGCCGATGGCCTACGACTGTAGAGTTCCGGGTAACGTAGAGAATTGCGCACAGCTTTACGAGACGGCGAAAACGATCTACGAAAACTCTCTATTCATGGTGAAACCGCAAGTTATAACAACTTGTTTTGCGGAGTTGAAAGCACGAAAATAGATAACTCACCGTGGGTCACGTATCTCTCCAGACAAGCTTTGATGAGCACCGTTGTAAACGATGGTGTAGAATGGGAGCTGCGAAAACATGGGAGAATCGGGGATTATCATGCAAATTATTTATGTCTTACGATTTCACTAAGTAACGGTACCGATTTGCACATGTAGAGACGTCTGTGTCTCTCTGACGTTGTAGAGATATCTGTGTTCTCGCCGTTATATAAGAATTCCTCAACGACCATACTGCTAGAGCCCTGCATATTTGCGGATTATCCTCGAATATCCGCAGTAAACCGGCGGATGCGGATAAAAATGAGTCAGGTTTGGCGGATTACGGATCGGATGCGGATATCCCCGGGTCTGAACCTATAATTTTGCTTAGAAGGCCCATAAACGTGTGCGACTGCACAGAGAGAGAATAAGTGAGCTACACTATGAAGTCCATCATCGACTGTATTACGGGAGCAAGCAACTTTCTTAGATAAAGGGCGCCAATCTGGAAAAAAAAATTGCTCTTTACGTCAAGAAATATCTGATTCTCACAAAAGATCGCTTTAAAACGTTGTACTTCGCAGAAAGGTATGTTTATAGAAAGAGTAAAGAAATCAGGAGCATCATTCGTCCCGGGAAAGAGTGTTCTTGTTTTGCAGGGAAGGAACGGAAAACGTTCTTTGGGCAAAGAAAACCTAAAACGTACAAGCCACAAAAAAAAAGTATAAAGAGACTAGAGGTGGCTTTTTTGCCTATACAATTAGACAGAGGAGACTGAATTCGAGCCTCTGGAGTGCTGGAACTTGCGCCAGCGCGCGAGTTGCAGCACCTCATTCTTGCAGCCCGGTTCGTGCATGCCATCCCCAGCATCGAGTGCACCAAAGGAGAGAGGCTTCTCACTAGCAGGTATTAATTGAAGAGAGGCGAACCATTCTGAATCAATCCATGTTTACGATATTCTGTTTCTTCTACACAGCAACCTCGACAAGTGAAATGTTGCATGTGTGTGCGCTCTCTTTCTTTTTGGCAATTGGCGCTGTTTTTCTTTTTATGTTTTGTTTAAGTATAAGGTTTTAGCAGGCAGTTGAGGGTTCGTGTTTGAGTCTGAATCCGATAGGAGGTGTTGCCATTATAGAACATTGTGATCTATTCCGAGTGGTGTTTTCGCTCCTTATTAAATCTACACGAGTACTTTGCTGCGGTAAGTAAGCGCCTTTCTTCGCCCACTTTGTAATTGTTTAGCCTAAATAAAATGACACAAAGTTATTAGTATGTCCTTTTTTTAATGTTCATGCTTATAAAATATGCGTATGTTCGAAGAGGGTTTTAAAAGCAAAAAGGAAAATAAATATTCATGGGTAGTCTTGCCCTTTTTCAGTGCTACCCAAACAATTTGCATTTTCTGAATACCCGGACTTTAGTCTTTACATTATGCCACTTGTTGTCTCGAAAATCAAAACAGCTATGGAGAAAACCGTAAACGAAGATGATGCCGAAACCAGCGTTCAAATTTCCGCGCGTTCTCCAGTGGTGTGACGTCACAAATTGCATAGATTTTCAGGTCGCGCAGAAGGTCTTAAAGCAAGTATATATGTCGAGCGTTTTTTCGTGCTTCTCGGTGAATGAGCTTCCAAGCATTCTTTTCCCACCTTCAAACGTCTTGTAACCATTAGGGAAGGCGGTTTACTGCCCAATTTTTACGGTATCTGTCGTCACACTTACGTGTTGCCAACTCTCGGTTTGAGAAACATGGTGGGGTATGAAATTAGAAAATGCAATAACTTCGCGAAAATGTTTTCTTTCCACACAATACTTGGGGGACTGGTACAGCCATATCTATCGGTGTGTTGAGCCAATGTTGAGGTAAATCGGTGGCCATAAAAAAAAATCGCTGGAGAACCCCTTTAAAAACGTTTTTCCTTTCGAGCGCATCTTCTGTACAAAGTGTCAGCTTCGCGGACTCCAAAGACGATCTCATGACTGCAATCATCTTTCCAGCGATGCGAAATGTCTCTGGAAGGATGACAGCTTAATTTACAAACAAGATAGGACGGAGCACGATAAAATGACTTTCACCGTATTCTGACAGAAAGAGTTATTGGTGCAAAGGTAAACTGATGGCTTATAAGATATCATCCAGATGCTTTTTTTTTTATTATTCCTGCTTGATTTCATTATTACAATGAATGCGCGGATTGAGGGTCTGATGCGGTTCCGAATTTTGCGGATGCGGTCCGGATGCGGATGATACATGCGTACATCTACGAAAAAAATCTACGCACCGAGAATCACATTTCACCGTGCCCACTGTGCCACAACGCAGAGTGTTTGTGTAGTGCTAAACATATATTTTCAGCCTCGTGATTGGCCAAGCACTCTGCGTAGATGGCCGCGATTGGCTCTCCCAAGTGTATGGCTTAGGATCTTCATTCTCCTTGATTTGTGATTGGTTCTTTGGCGTTCTACTCAGCTAAGCTGCAAACTCATTGGCTGCGAGACGATAATGAGACGCTTAATGAGATAATTAGACGCCATACCCTGCTATTCTTAAACTGTCAGTGACCGTAGTTGGTATTTGTTTCTAGTTTTTTTGTTTGTTTGTTTTTTTCCCGCACAACGAGTTTCGTTTTTGCACTCGAGTGTGTTGCGAAGTTTCGCCCTCGTAAAAGCTTGGAGAAAAAGGCATATCTCCTCTATCCCATGCGCGTGGTTATTAGGGACGCTCTGTAAACTCCGCGTTCCACCGAATTCGGCACCTCGTGACCAGAAGCAAATTTACGTCTTACAGCAAGTCGTCGTTGTCCTTGTGGAAGAACGGAATCATCGAAAATCCGAACGGAACATCTGGAAGCAAAAATAAATATAATTACCTCTCTACTCCCCATAACGCTTGAGTAAACATGTACTCCAATAGCTCTGAAGCGCCGTTTGAAAGTTTTCTTCATTTTTTTTATTTCTATTTATGATTAGTTATTGCGTTACGTCCGCAATGTGTGAACTAATAATACAGAAACAATCCCCATTTCTGTCGTGAAAACACAATTTGAGATAGAAATATTCGAGGATACAACACTACTCCCTTCACTGATGTTCACCCTGCGTGTGTCTGCCCTGTCTGTTGTTGTCCTTTTCATTTTTGAATTACCGAATGATTAAAACCGTTTTCGCATCTTTTCAGTACCTGCAAGCTGTTTAATGCTGCGCAAGTATTTTGCTTTTGCATCTTCGCACGATTATTAGAACCGTGGTTATTTATTTGCTCGTTTAAAGATTCAAAGTTTTTTTGTTTTGTTTTTTAAGTACTACCTAAAATAAGGCATGGAATGTGCCGCAGCAATATAAGCTAAGTGCAGGACTCCAACTCACAGATGATATCCGCAATGGGATCGTAGAATGGCTTGGCGGACAGGCTTCCTTCCTCGCTCCACCTAAGAGAAATTATTTTTTTTTTTTTAACGCAACACATTATTTTTTTATTCTCCACATTTTTATATGGTATACACAACTTTTCCCTCCAGATTTTAACCTCTAATCCCATGTAACTTGTTCAATCCGTTGTGCTGTTGTTGTTGTTGTCGGTTTTTCGTGTTTAAAAAAAGAATGTGTACACAACCCAATCCATATTGTTGGGTAAAAGGCCCCAAGATTTCTTAAAAGCACATAAACTCCGGGGGAAAAAAACAAGCTGTTTTTGCTTCATTTTAAATACGTTTTTGCGTAATACAAAAGTTCTATTTTTGCCCGCGAGAAGATAAAGGAAGATAAACTTGCACGCGTTTACTCTGATGTCGGTTATTCATAAGAGCATTTGCGGCCTGCTTGATTGATCCCATCAGGCTTGCCTCAGCAGCGAATGGAACGACCGCCTGAAAAAGAAAAGGCACTGTTCGGCGACCATACGTTACAATCCGGGTTGCAAAGTGCCTGGGTACGAGTACGGTTGTCTGGAACACGTCCTCGACTGGTGTGTATAGATAGCGTTCTATTACGCACACACACATAAAAAAGTGTTCCCGAAGTAGCGAAAAGTGACGTCACAATAACCAGTGCGTCATGTTGTCGGATGTCGCGATCCTGGCGGTCGGTGCTGGAGGTTACGGCAGAGTGCACGAGCGAACGCGAGTGTCGTTATTGTCGCAGCGTCTCGACTCCCAACTGCTGAAGGGGTGTCAGACAGGACACTACAAAACGCACGACTCCGACAAATTGTGAAAATTGAAGCGGACGCTTCTATTTTTACGATTTGTCGGAGTCGTAAAAATTTTTGCAGGAGTCGTGAAAATTTTCATGATCACGACTTCTCTCTTTGCCTCCTGCGTCTGGCTCACCTCGCCAACGCACTCGCGTACCGCCGTCGCCTCGGCTTGAAGGCCAAGGAGGTTCGGCTTCGGGTGGATTTGGGACATTCCTGCGTCGAAGGGTGCGTTTCGCCCGCCTCGGATCTGCTTTCTTTGTCGAGATTCACTTTCGTCGTGATGGCGTCCGACGCGGTTCCGTATGGTGAGCGGAGGACTTGAGCGATTGACCGACAGCCAACAGAGCGTGTGAGTGGCTCTCCGGACCCACGTGATGAGCAGAGCAAGGCCGCCGTGGAGAAAGCAAGGGGGAGATTTGACGGGGGGAAGTTTCCCCCCGGGAGCTTTGACGGAGGGAAGTTTCCCCCCGACGGCCGGAAGCGGAGCACGGCACGATTTGCCGGAGTCTTGAGTTTTGTAGTATCCTGCTTGGACAGGCCTTGAGGCGTCCGTGGTCTGTCAATTTGGAGGGCAATCTTGCAGCAGAACAAGCGTCTGCCACATTCACCCCCGCTGCTGCGACACTGCCAGCATCGCAGACGACATGACACGACGTCATCAGGCAGCATTGGAGAGACAACTTTCTAGCAGACGGCAAACGCACCCGTCGGACACGTGCTTCAGGTACCGAACCGTAGTATAGATAAAAGATGTTAATCAGGTAGCTACTTAAGCTGTCATTGCCTTGGCTTTGTGACATGTTTCTTCATGCGCTCCTATGTTCGGGACTGAGTTTCTTCAGCCTTCAGTGACTTTGTTGTGCTTTACAAACCTAGGAGCTTTTTTCTGGACCTAAAGTAGTCGTTAACATGTGCAACGGTTAGTTCGTTTTATGCGGGTATTTTCCCGAAATCTTCAGCATACCTTCGAAACAAACGAGTCGGTTCTAAATGTTGAGGTCATACTAGAACACCAGATTCCAACGGCGAAGATAAATCTTTCACCCCAAGTCAGGTGGAGAAAAAGAAAATCGAAATGGTCGTGATCCGATACATCTAAAACCAAACGTACCCCTGTGAAGAGTCTTAAAATCAGCAGAACGGACACACAAAAAAAAAAAAAAGACAGGGCTCAGTTATTCATAAATACAATTGTTTCCAGATGTGTGATGTTGTCATTGAGTGTGTGTTCAGCTGGCTGATTCTATTCCTCAAACCAGGAAACTACGGGGCGTATCTCAGCGGCTTTTGTAATTCTTCCCGTCTAAAACTTGCTAGAACATAACTTGCCCAATCATTTTATAACTAAAAAAATCGTCATTTCTAAAAAAAAAAAAAAGTTTGAAGTGAAAGACAGATGTGTTTGAAGCAATGTGTCTATGGCTACGGAAATTTTTAAGTACATACTTTAACTGTGGCTCAGGTGCAGTCATGAAGCGCATTTTGCAACCTTTTTCAAGCTTACGTATATGTGAACCGAATCTTATAAGCTAATTATTACGTGCGACACTTCATTGCAACATCATAATACTCGCACAACTGCTAGTGTACTAACCACTAGTTTAATCATCTCGGAAACAGTGCTATCAAAGTTTTTACACATAAACTTAATTTATTCACTTTAAAAACCTGGCATAGTTCAAAATAAAAAAATATATCTGCTTTGGTACTACTTGTATTAATCTTGTCAAATGTTGTAAACATTTCTTTTTAGTGTTTCTTCTTGTGATACTAGACTAGAGATATTTTTCTTACCATATGAGTCTATGCCCTACCTAGGCTGAGAAAGCGAGTACAGCACTCGCAAGTAATCTATTCAAACAATACTCCCTTTAGTAGAGGCGACAAAGGCAGCGCCTTATGAAGTTCAGATAACAGACGTTTCAAGCCTGGCAGGCTCTTCGTCAAAGAGACATTGATTTAATAAATATATTCAATTTTATATCTTTTTTATACAAACTTCATCGCGAACGCTTTTAGAAGTCACTATAAGAAAACAAGCTACCTAGTTCTAAAAGACTGACGAAGAGCCTGGGTGGCTTGAAACGTCTCTTAACTTTTTCTACGCTGCTTCCAGCTCCCCTACTAAAGGCAGTGTTATTTGAATAATTTGTCTACACAGCATACTTCTCGCAAGCGCGGAGAGGCAAACAAAACGAAAACACTGAAAACATTGTAACATTTTTTTTGGCAATAATTGAGTCAAATGTTTTCGTCGCGTAAAAATGACAGCTATGTACACTTAATCACAATCATCCTACCAGGTTTTTAATGATGGCATCCATGTTTGTGGGGTAGAACCACCTTATGCTCTGGAGACCGTTTTGGACCTAAATTGAAACAAAATGCATATTACAGTTACACGACATCCAATTGCGAGCGCAGTAAAACAAAAGAAGTAAAACCCCCTGTCTCATCGTAAAAAAAAAAAAAAAAAAAAAAAAAAAAGAAAACGCTGCGCGTTTTTAAGCGCTTTGAACCCCACTTGAACTTGGCGACAAAGGTTGGTGACGATATCGTAACGTTTCATAACTTAACTTGGTTTGAATCAGAAGTTGTAAGCGATTTTCGGGAGATTTAGTAATAAGAAAATAGCGGCCAGCGTGGCCGGCGAATGCACAGAAACGGATAGAGCCGAAAACAGGCTATATCCCTCGTTGTAAATTGCTTAAAATCACTTTTCAAACGGGAAACTCTGGACCCTAAATCGTTTGCCTCTTATACCCCGACCGCCAGCCATGGAACAAGAAGTCTCCTCCTAGTCTCTGCTCTGTTTCACACAAAGTTCGATCTCCGGCCGAAGCCCCAATCCTCTAGAGTCAACCAAGCAGCGTCAAAAGTGCGTCGTCAGGATGCCCGTCGTCTTCAAAAATTTCTTATCACCGGCCAAACCAAACATGCCCAAAAACAAAAAAACCACAGAACTACGCAACGTTCACCTTGCGCGCGATTGCTTAAACCGTGTATAGCAGACGCACAGACAACGTTACTAAAACACTCAGTTGGGAAACTCGCCGTCGAAACCTGGGCCGCTGGCGTCCACCGAGACCGAGCTAAATCAGAGCCGTTTATCGAGAGAGTTTGGCCATACATTGGTTTGAATAGGCGAGCGTCTCGGGGCCAACCACAGGCCGCGAAACAGCCCCTAGCGGTGGTCGTGAGCTCTAAATTTGTGACACGACTAATTCAAGCCGTTTTAGCGTCGCTAGAGTTATAAGGTGTGACTCTCAGTGAGTGAAAACTTTGTGCGTGCGAGGTGTTTGTCACGCCAATATTCAAGTGTAGAATAAACGAACGTGCGCTCCAAACCAGGGCCAACTTGCTAGAAACAGCGTCTCAGCTGAGACGGTGAAAGAAAGCACTGCCAAAGCCAGCGCACGAGCCGAGCGGGACTCCGCGTCTCGAGACGCTCGCGCGCCCCACCCTTTGCACTGTTTTCTTTCCGCCAGTCACAGGACGCTGTTCTAACAAGCCAACATCAGCAGTGCAGAGAAAGGTATGGGCACGAGCGCGTGGCTTTGGAAAGTGGCTCCTATGCACGAGTTCTCGTACAAACAAAAGCGTTTTGCTGAGCTAGGTTCACGCGCCTGTACTTTTGTCTTCACTGCCGACATTTGTGAGATGGAGCAGAGAGGCCGAGATTGAACGCCTCTATTTCACGCTTTGAATGTCGTTTGCAATATTGTGACGTCGCGGTCTCCTGATTGGTCGACGCTGTGTCACAAATTTAGTTTACACTCAAAGCCCGGGGGGAATATTCGGCGCTGGCGGCGGCCTTTGCTCCGCCTATTGGCCAAACTCTCCCAATACACGGCTCTGAGCTAAATGCGACAACAGCGCCACTCTTCATCGTTTGTCTGTACTGTGGTCCCCTTGAGCTTTTTGAAAGCCTGTTTTTGCGTAAAAACAAACGAAAAAGACTCTTTTTGTATGAAATTTATTGGAGTTTAGTACCAAAAGAGGGGCGCGTTATGTTTTTAAAATATTTAGTTCGCAAGGTTTTGCGGAACAATTAATATTGTTTTCATACAACCATGCCTCAGCGGGCCTTTCGGGTAGCACGTCCTGACCTAGGTGCATTTTAACGTCAGTAGTTGATCGCGGCGCGTCCGCCGGGGAGATGGGGGTGGCACCCCTGTACCTCTACCGCTGTATCTGTTCTTCAGCCAAAATAGAAGTCACGTGCACTTCCTCGATTGGCCGCTGCGGGAGAAATGGTGGCGTTGTGTTCGTCATTAGCTCGGTGCTCGGAGACAGATTGGGGCCACTTTTTCAAAGCTGTCTCTATGGGAGTTTCCCAACTGAGTGTTTTAGTAACGTTGCGCACAGAGGACCAGCGCCGTGAGAAGGCGGAGCGCAAGTTTCTCTGCTTCTTTCACAGGGCTTGCGATGATGTCGGATTGACGAGCTCTTATTGGTTGATTGAAAAAGAAAAGAATGGGTAGACTTCAAGGCATCTAACATTGGGGTCCACCCCCTACTCTTTCGATCAAAGCCAATCAGAGCTCGGCGTCGTTCTGACGTCACCGCCAGTCCTGCGCCAGAAGCAGACGACTTGCTCTCCGCATACACTTTTGGCGTTGTTTGATTGGTTCTATCGGATCGTTGGCTGCGCTCGTACAAAGCGTGAAGGCGAGAATCTCTCTCCGCCAACTGGGCGACTTGTTACGTGCACGAGCTGAGGCATATGCGCACTCAACTGCATCTCCCTCGTGCCAATACGCTCCATAGTGCATGGCGTTGTTGTCAAGAAGAGTGATCGCAACTAATACACGCTATGTTCTTCTTCACTCTGCGCCCTTCTAATGTCTGCTAAACAAATTTAAAAGATCGCTCCTTAACTGAAGCGTTCCACGCCTACTCTCGGAAAAAAATCTGCGACCTCACTTTCCCGCACTACTGCGAGCAATCCCAGGATCCCGGAGAACAAAAAAACATCGGCACCCGATTAGCAAATAACAAAAAAAAAAAAATCCGATGTGCGCAGGAACACTACGCATGACGTTTCAATTGACTTTTTTCCAGAAACGAGCGCCATCTGGAGAGTTTTGTGCGAACTACGAGTGAAGGGTAGCTCGACATGCCTTTGCCGGTAAGAATACATTGGCATCGTGCCGTTGTATCGGTCTTCGTTGCATTTTAAGCCCCGGGAAGAGGGTTTACGCATGAGCAGACATTTACTGGAAAAAAGTCCAGCGCTCGTTATCCTGCGCACATCAATTTTTTTATTTGTATTCGTGTTGCGAGCTTCGCCATCACTGCGATCCTTCTGTTCTTTTTTTTTCCGAGATCGAGTTTTTCAGTGTTGTCCAAAAAATAAACGTCATAGATTTGACTTTTATTCATTTGCATTATTTGAAGATAAAAAAAGCTGCAAATTGTTGTTGTTGTTGTTGTTGTTGCTGCTGCTGTTTGTTTGTTTATGGCTACTCACGAATTCCAGAGTGTTGCCGGTAACCCTGATGTTCTTGGTCCCGAACACGGAACCTTTGCCCAGTACGGCGTCCGACATAATCGAAGACTTCCAGTTCTTCTTCGAACCACTCCCCGCTGCCGCCCCTGGAGCAGCGAAGTCTGCGAACAACTTTCCGAGTGTGTCGTTCATCTGAGCAGAATAAAAGACGTCGGGTCAAAACCGCCTATTCTTTCTCCGAAACATCCGGTGACTTAACAAAGTCACTTCCGCCAAGAGAAGATAACCGTGGCGCTCTTCACCTTAAAAAAAAAAATAGGGTTAAAACCGTTGCTGCCACTACGCTTATTCTCAAAGAAAGGCGTTTGAATTTCGCCTAGCGGTTATTCTAGGGTGCCTCCATGTGCGCTTCGCGTAGGGTGATGCCAACTGCCTGTTTTTACTTCCCAGACCGTCTCCCGCCGCCATTTTGTGCCTTTCATTGTTTCCCCGTGCGCCAAAAAGTTGCCTTTGTGTCCATCAGTCCTCCCATCCGAGGGGGAAAACGCTAATCCTCCCTCCGTGGGGTCCACAACGCTGCTCCGAACTTGTGAGATAAGGTGCTTGTTTCCGGGAGGGTTATAAGCCCAACGGGTCATCGCCGAGAACCAAGATGGCTGCTGGTCTGTCGGCGAGTGGTATTACAAGGAATGGCATCACCCTAGCAAAGCGCACATGAAGGCTCCCTAGGTTATTCCATATAACGAAGCATGGTGACTCAGCACTTTTCCGCGGGGTGAACATTCCCAAAAACCTTTGTCTCCCTGGTGCGGGCAGATCAGGTCACTTAGTGCGTGCATGAAGGAGGTCCGAGCGATGCGCGGAAAACGACAGAGCCATTTCGTTGTTGCGCATACAGGGGCGACGACACCGTGCGCTTATACGGCCAGGCGACATTATGAGACGACTGCGCGTCAAGAACGGCGTGGCACGCAGACGAACGGAACCGCAGCCCGTGTGTGGCATCCGCAGGTTTCCAAAGACGATGGCGGGTGCTTTCGGGACGTCCACAGCGCGCACCCGCACGCCGGCCTCGTGACGTGTACCACCTAGCAACCGAGGTGCAGTGGATGACAGCGAGGCTATAGGGTGCACTTGGGCCAGCTGCTGTACGGGTGGCCCAAGGAGGGTTAATATTCTGTGATGAGCCATCTTCCAGCTGTAGACCGCCGGCGATCTTCGATTGCTAGGGCTGGGGCGCCATCCTGTGGCGACGTCGCAAGTTCTTCAAACGTTTCAACCACATGGTCAGCGCATGTATGAGAGCACTAATGCTAACGCATTAAAAGAAAAATCATGAGCCATTCCACTCTGCGAAGGAGGATGACCAGCGACACAGACGGGATGCAGCATTTTGAACAAAAGTACGAACACTTTTATTGTCTTGATCGGGAGAGCGGTAGGAAAGGAAGCTATGCACGCAAGCGCTTGAAACAACGACAGAGAGAGGGCGGTGCGAGCGTAGACATGGCCGACGCGGGTAGCGCAGCGGCAGATTATTGAGAAACCTTTATTATCCACCTGAGAGACTACTGACCTGGAAAACGGTGCCTGTTAATAACTAATCAACCGAAAATGCTTTTCCAAGTAATGAGACGTATAAGATCTTGCATAGAATAAAGCGATTTTGCATCGAATTCGGGACCCAAGTTTTTGTTGGAGCACATGAAAAATCCACGGAACCTAGCCAAAAGGAGCTTCGCTGTAAAAAAACGAAAAAACTTTGAGTGCATTTACGCTTTTGCGTAAAGGCCCGTTCACACTCTTGCGACCGAGTACGACTGAGAGAGACGAGATCTCTTAAAACTTCTTAAATGTTTTTAGAATGAAGGAACACACTGGCATTGTGGCGCCATCTATGCGGTGATCCTGGAACTACATTTCACAAGAGCGAAGGTTTTGCGGGATTTCCGAGGTCAAATGTGCGTAATACCCATAGAAAGACTCGTTTATAACATTGACAAAAGTTTCTCGAGCCAAGAAAGAAAGGATAATGCGCGAGAAATAAAAAAAAGATATGCGCCGGACCGCCGAGTTTACACTGCTTCCCAATAGATGGAGCCAGTGTGTTCTCGGGTTTAAGAAGTTTTAAGGAACCCAGGTTCGCAAGAGTGCCACAGCGACAGCAGCGCGCCGTAAACTGAAAGTCGCGTCCTTCCGACCCGATACGAGAGGTCAACCCTTTTGCGGTGCGCAAGTTTGCCTCTTCTAGGCGCACCTCGCGTGCATGTTTACCCGCCAAGCGCGCACACGTCTTTTTGTTTCTCCCCCAACTTGAAGAGCGAGAGCCGGAGGAGGAAAGAAGCTTCCAGTCTCCGATCTCGACGTACGCAAGCGTCGGAACAATAGGGAGTTTTCGTAGATCGTTTTCGCCGTCCCGCATGACCCTCCGCAACCCGCTACGATAGTGGGAACTCCACAGTTAAGGCTATCGGCGCGCAGGCGCAGTAACAACTTCTTCGTTGCGGAACGCTTAGCGGAGGGGGCAGCGGGGCAGCGCGGTCTCGGAAAACTCTCTAATGGGGTGCCGACTACAGCGGCGGCGGTGAGAGGCGTAGCCCAGAGTCCCAGGTGTGGCGGCTGGGAGCGATCACGTGATTGATGGACGTAGTTAATAGGAAGTTTTAGAGTAGCGCATGCTTTGCGTACGCAAAGAATAGTGTCGTCGCCACTGCGCATGCGCCGAACACTAACCACGTTGTGCGCTTTGCGTACGCTACTTTTCCAGAAATTGCGTGCATACGCAAAGAGTATTTGGGCTCCTACAACATGGATTCGTAATCAGAATTTGGCTAAAGTCAAGACGAGAAGAGTTAAAAAATGGCGGCTCCCAGGACCATGGCTGCGGCCGCATTGGCTGCGTTGTGAGCGTGACGTCGGCAGCATCCTCGCGACTGCGATTTTCGGTGTGGAAGGACATTGCACTCGGTTTGGGAAACCCAGTAAGGTGGGCAACGATCACCGGGAACTTGATGCTTGCGACGCGCGAACATTTCTAGGCGAACGTAAGGTGTGCGAAGGTGAGTACACGAGACCTCCCTTGCCGAGGCAACGCAGGTGGACACGACCGGTCGACCGCTCGCGTCGCATTCTCGTGTTAAAACAAATCTAAAATGTTACTCTGGAACAAAAAAAGAACTTGCCTTTTTCTCAAGTTATAGCATTCCGTGCGTGAAATAAAAATTGTGACTATCTTGGTGGCGTTGTAAGCGCGAGATGCTTGGACTTTAGAAGGGTATGCATTTGGGCAAGTTGGTGATCCATGTTTGTGAGGGTAAAAGCGCTAAAAACAACGGACGAGTAAAAGTGTTGTTCGTTCCTTTTACTCGTCGGCTGTTTTCAGTGCTTTTACCCTCACACACATGCTTGAACTTTTGCGTAGCGGCGAAGAAGCGCTATTCTAAAACCCTCTCCCGTCGCGCGCGCTAACGCAAGCGCTAAATGTAGCGCTAGCGTGCTCTGGAATTTAGTACGTTCTTCTAAAACTCCCTAATGAAGTCACTGGGAGTTTTCGCGGCGGACGACCCAGCAGTTTCCCGGGTAGGTTTCCACTACCAGATGTCGCTGTAAAGCAAAGCATCGTAAAACGCTCAGGCCCTGTTCATCCCCTACAGAAGCCCCTGCATGCCTGTAAACCCTGCATGATATAACACGATCACGATATCCAGACTTTTATGTTGTAGTTTTTTTTTTTTTTTACTTAGTAGGATCATTAACATGCACCAATTTTACCGCTTAGCAAAGAAAACCAAATGAACATTTTACACCGCAGCGGTAAGAGAAACACCTTCAATTTGAGAAAGAATGTCGAAAGCTTGGATTCTTAAGTTCGGTTTCAAGAAATACTCATGTCTCCCGCAGTACCCCTAAAAGGGTTCCCCGAGCTCACATACTCTTCTCGACCGCCTAAGTAAAAGTGTTTCCCCAGTTAAATGAAGCACTATTTCAGCAGATCTAAGACACCCATCAATGCGTGACTACGAGCCGAATACTCCCTAGATCGAGCATTACTGTACACGAAGTCTGTAGGCTCCTCGGCGGCGTTATCGCATCGATGCCGAGACCGAGAGAGGTCCCTCGGCTATCAGTCAAAGCGGGTAAGGACTGCTCGAGATCTATTCATTCAGTTACAAGCATTTACGTATCGCAAGGGTCAATGCCATTTTAAGAGAGCTGTGGGAATAACATAGATAAAAATAAAAAATAAAAACAAAGGACAATAATTGTTATGTTTATTTCATGAAGGCCCAAAATAGGGAAGGATGTTAAAAGCGTTTTTAAAGAATTAATCAATAACAATTGATACAATGAATGTCAAAAAACTGTTCCAATTCAAATTAAAAAAAAAAAAGGTTTGGGGAGGATTGAATGCTTACAATTAGGGACGCCCACTTTGAACAGAAGGTCAGTGCGCGTTGAAATATCAAGTGGTGGAGTGAAAAGTCGTTGGTTAATTACGCGTAAGTACGACATATCTCGTTAAAAATACCTAAGTGAGCAGTTTTACGGTGAAAAGAGGGGTTGGGCAGAGATCATTCGGCTTTCATGGATGTTACGTTTGCGGTTGCGATAACTACCGAGAATGAAACGAGCTGACCAGTTTTTGACAACCTCAAGGGCATGGATTAAACGAGAGTTATGAAAAGTTTTAAAGCATACAATAGAAAGAAAGCAAGTTAAGGGGGTGTTGGGGACAAATACTTACGATGGTCATAACAGTGGTGGTTCGAAGCTTATCCTCCTGTGCAATGACCGTAAGTACGTCGTAAGGCATGATATCGTCGGCCATTTTGACGCAGTGCGTGAGTCTGTTGGGCGGCTCGAGGCGTCGGAAGTAGGCGCGGCTTCCGAACTCCCTGAACTTCTTGAGGTTCTCCTCGTCGGGTATCAGGGGCAGCAGGTGCATGAACAACTTGAAGGTCGCGTAGTTGGCCACCTCTTTCGTCCTGAAACAGAGATGTTAATTGCACGCGCAATAAAAACGTGCACTCGCAGTAAAACGTGGTGCCACGCGCGCCCGAAACGGAGGGGGTCTGGTGTCGCCCTATTTTGTCAGGTCGACCTCAGGTTCCCCCCCGTGACGCGTCATGACCAAAGTGGCTAGTGGCTGAAAGGTATCATTTTGGCTTCTTTCATGTTGTTTGAAACCTCTTTACCCTCGCTGAGAAAGCGTGGGGGGGGGGGGGGGGGGGATTGCAGGAAGGCCACTTTTGGGGACTACAGCAAGCTCTCACAGGCGCGACTATGAATGGATTATTTATTCGGCGCCAAAAAGATTTTTTTTTCTTGTTCGCTTTGTTCAGTGGCGGACCCATTCAGTCGGGTGGGAAACACTGGAAAATTCAGAAAAAAACAATAAAATCTGACCCTCGTAAACGATTTTGTTCGGTAAACCCAACCCGTATCAATGCAAACTGATTCTGTTTCCGTGGCTTATTGACGTTAAAGGAAGAATTCTAAGTATTGATTGGATACAATGATAAAGAATCATGCCGCGGTTTCTACAATTCACCAACAGCACATAAGGCACGCGGTCGCATAATGTGAATAATTTTTACGTGTTCAATATTGCTTAGTAGCATTCATACGACAAAAATGCATTAAAATACATTTAGCCCTATGTTAAATGTGGGTGATTGGAACAAATCAGTCATATCAAAATATCCGACGTGTTCCCTTTAACACAAACCAAACACGCGGTGAAAAATCAATGGGCATGTTCGGTTTGTCTCAAGCGAAAGCTGATCATTCAGCGAACATTTGGTTTGGCTCGAAGCGGTAGTTTCCATGAGGATAATGACGTCATGACAGTTCGATGTCCCTGCTAAGAATATTCTTTTTACGTAAAACTTTTTTTTCTTTTCTTTTCTTTTTTTTTTTTTTTGGGGGGGGGGGGGGTTAGGTGTTTGGCATTTAGTGAACCCCCAAATAAAAGAGAAGCCGTCATAAAAGCGTGGCCGCGAGGATCGACATTGATTGGTTGACGGGTGGCAGAGAAGGGAAATGCTCGACGCTAGCTGGTTAACGGTAAGGTCATGTGACCGGAGGGGTAGGCAAAAAGCAGTGACGTAGGTAAGGGCGAGCTCAATTACTCGTGCACACTGAGAAAGAGGAGCTCGGGAGTATGGAAGGCTCTTGAAGATCGCCAGATTTATCAGCACGAATAGCGGTAGTGTCGCTTAATTCTAGGAACAGCTATCAAGGGTACACATGGTCCACGTTAAACTAACTGGTGAAGAACGCCGTGAAAGTAGGCGTCTGGCGTCTGGAAGCTCTAATGCTAGAACCTTTCACGTATACGAAATAATGGACAAGCAATTTGTCATAATTCTTTTTTTATTAAAATTAAGTTACCTCCGAATTTATTTATTCGCTGAATGCGCTCCGTAAGGTACAGTGATTGCTCCACTACGGGCTCCGTAAAAAAGCCCAACGCGTAGGCCCTTCCCTGGACGGTGTTCGCTGATCCGTTTCATGAATTTCCATTCTCGTAGACTGAACTGATTAGATAAAAGTCACTGATTGGTGTCTTAAGTGGATCACAACGCGCAAAGCGTCATCGCGGTGTAGAATGACTGCGGAGGTCACTTACGTGGTTTTGGTCAGCACAGTGTGCACCTCCCTGTCACGTGGATCCACAAACACGAGATTCGAGGGTGCGGATGTTAGACCCAGCACGGCTTTTAAGTAGTCGACCATCTTAAACTAAGGACAGAAAGATGGGCGAATGATGCAAGCAATTAATCGTGTACCTGGGATTGGTTCTCTATAAAAAATGCCTCGTAAATCGTGATTTGTTTTTTGTTTTGTTTTTTCCTGGACGTCGCATTTATTTTGTAAGCACAAAGGGGTGTTTCACTGACAGCTCAATAAACTCAGCGCGTTGCTTATTCAAGCTTCCTGTTTCGTGATTCATTAATCGTACCGGCTAATCCCGTAGCAGATTAGCCGATACATTCGTATCGGCCAATACTCTAATCTGATTGGCTCTGGAGCGATAATAATTATGCTGGGGGACTCGTCATGCACCGAGCTACTTAGTCTGTCGGTGGCTATATAAGTAATTCGCCGAGCCAAGAAAGAGAATTTTAAATCGAACTTGAATTGGAAGATATTTGCACTTTGGGTTTTGACAGCGTCATCACCATCGTCACGTGTAAGTGGGAGCAAGCGCCCTTACGAGTCACGGCGTCAAGCAGCCGATGTGGAGGTCGGCGATATCCCTCATCTAAATTCTCAAGAAATCCCCTCTCATTTTTAATTAACGAAGCCAATTGGGTTACAACTTGCGTGTGCTGCCTGGGGCACAAAACATATTTCAGCGTTCTACAAAACGAGGTTCCCAACTGCGTCGCGAAAATAACCCTCAACGTTTTGTCTGGCAAAAGCGGTATACACGTTCATATAATTGCGATCACCACGATTCGAAAGCATTCCACGAGGCTTCTCAGAAGTATTCGCTCGTTAATCACATTAGAACTAAGGAAACAAGCTTGGCGAACGTGTAAACAACTGAAACGTAACGGGCCAAAAACTTACCACGGTGTCTCCTTTCGCCATTTTAATGAGTTCCACCGGTCCTCCACGAATTTCGCTTATAAACGGATCGTGCACCTTTGCCTGCAACATTTCAGGTAATCACTAAAGGCACATTCACACTGGCATTCGAATCGCAACCGCGAAGCGGATCCGCTCGTTTTCATCATCAAACGCGAGTGAAATTGTATGGCATCTTTAAAGGGGCTTTACAACGGTATTGGGTAGAAACGTTTCTCATTTTACGCCAGCCTACTGTCACTAGTGAGACCTGAGAATACTCGAACGCAACGCCACTAGCCAAGAAGCGTCTTCGTCGGGGTGGAATCAAGGATGAAAGGGGACCTTTTTTTTCAGTCTCTCCTTCGAAAAACTTGATGACGGAGCTGTGGGGACAATGCTAACAATGCGATCCCCAGGAGTGCGTCAACAAGTTTGGAAAATCCCCGCTGTGGCGATGTTTTAATGCTGCTCATGCAGTTGACACGAGGACTGCGTGGGTATTTGATTCTGACTCGTGGCAGTCGAGGTCTCGGCATGCAATCGGGCATTGGCTCGTGCCCAATCGCTGGAATGACGGAAATAGCAGAACCTTAACAATGGTTAGAACTCAGCACGCGCCCTGTGCTCTGGCAGGGAGGGGCAGTATCGCGATACAAATGTATCGCGATAGTATTTCAGAAATACATTTCGTATCTGTATTTCTGTATCGCGATACACTGTTTTCACCAGCATCTGCAGTATTTCTCTACCGAGATGCATATTGGAATGTTTTTTTGAATCGCGATACAATCAGGATGAAATGTATCTCGTTAAATTTCTTTAGAAATACTCCCCCCCCCCCCCCCCCCCGAAAAAAAAAAAACAAGTCCGAACGCATACTTTTTTATTTGTTTTTACTTCTCAGGGCATCAGGGTTAAGGAGATGCTGGGGAATTGTTGCTATGCTGACCAAGGTTCCTTCCAATTCTCCAGACTATTTTTCTATACGTCCTCCTGTCTCTTCTGAGAAGTGTTGCGTAGTCGGGGACTCGAACCAGGCGGCGTGCCAGGAGTGGAGTCAGAGCCTCTTCTGCCGCAGGTCCTTAGCTAGGCATTTCTCGAGTTATTGTTTGCTGGCATCCAATGTCCGCTTATAAATGTCTCTCTTGACTTAGCGTACACAGTACGCACAACCGGCAAGGCTGAGTCACACGCAGTCTGTTGCAGCACGAGCCTGGAGGTCGTTGACTTGAAATAGTAGGATGACTCACCCAGTGAAGTTCAACACATATTCGAATGCGTCTGCGGCTGCGCCCGTAATATTGCACGACTCAAGCGTACGTCATCAGCCGACATGAACGCGACCCCCTGCTCTGGGGATCCGAAACCCAGGAAGGAGGCCAGACGTGGACTCGCTGTGCCGACCCAGACTTCGTACACCTGCGACTCGTCTCGAGCGCGCCGTTTCTCGGAGAGCTCGCACCTGTGCCGGCAATATCAGGTCGCAGTCCACGAGGTCTCTGTTTGGGAGATGCTATGCGAAACTTGATGACTGCAATCCATGTGTCGGTGGCGGAGGGTCTGCAGGAAGGACTTTCACAGCAGGAATGCTATCGTATCTTTTTTCAACCGCAACAGAAGGTAAGGCACGTGTTCCAGGATGCTTCAGGTGGTCCACTATTCTAGAAAATTCCAAATGACACTGCCTGCACGATCTTCAACGAAATAACCTACAAGGAAAGTACCTATTGTACTTTCATACAGCAGCGTGGTAAAGATTAATGCTCTAGGCCACACCTACGGATAAAATATACCAGTTTATTCCACCGTGACTTCATGTGATCATTGTTGGCAGGGACGTCTCCCTTGGAGAGGGGCGTGGTGGCGTTTGGTGGGATTTAGGGTGTCATAGATTTTATTTAGAGGTCGAAGTCTTTTCGCATCCCTCGTCAGAAAGACCGGATCTCAGGGAAGGGACCGAAATCAGTCCTTGATGGAACGCTTTTTTTTTTTTTTTTTTGAGCCCATTGACGACTTTTCGTCGTCCGAGACCACTACCTTCAAGGCAAAGTGCCAAGCCTACGGGAAAGTAATTTTGGGATCAAAAACTTCCACTTCAAACTTCAAGCTTCATCTCAGTTGGCGTCTCTAAAAATGTGAAAAATGTATTGCAGTATCAGTATTTCTGTATTTGTATTTCTGCCCTCCCTAAAATGTATTCCTGTATTTGTATTTCCAAATACTTTTTGCCTCTATTTCAAATGTATTTCCGATACGTATCGCGATACATTTTTACAGATGTATTTTAGTATCAGTATTTTGGCTACTTTTTTTTATGTATCCCAGTATTTGTATTTCCAAATACATTTTTGAGTATTTCTGCCCAACCCTGTGCTCCGCCACACCTAAAGTCACTGAATCCTAGGAAAGTAGCGCTATTTTCTTCCCTACCTGCTAGCCAGACACAAACAAATACTAGCATATACAGACGACCAAAACCTCGCCAGACGTGTCTACGTTGGCATGGAAGTCGCCATTTCGGTCCATTCAAATCTTCGAAGCTTCGAGAAGGTCGTTCTAAACCAGTCGCACCAAGATCACCATGGGGCATCATCGTACTGGAAGCGTTCCTCGCCAATATAAGCGTCTTTGGCACTGTGTATGCAATCAACTTATCTATCATGCCCATCTCCAGGGATCTCTTACAATTGTATTGTTCTTCTTGCGTATTTTAAAACAGCACACTAATTTTTCAGTGCCTCCAAGCACCGACACAGCATGTGGTGTTGGTACGAAGATGTACGCTTGCTTCGCCGGTGTGTGGATAGCGAAATCTTGGTATACGAGAAAAGTCTACATAGAGCTACCCGTCATCTGCGTACTTAGATCGGCTTACCAAGAACAGACAGGTCAGAAAGAAATTGCTCATTTCGCGGATCAAGATGGCGACCGTACGGGGAGCCTGGAGCTACTCTCCCAGGATCCAGTGACTTTAGCCAAACCCAACGCGTGGCTATGGCAAAAACTTTGCCGGAATATATAATCGGCTCCAGATCACGTGGCCGCATTTTTCTGGCTACGAGTCGAGGGGGTAAACGGTGTTCGTTTTTCTCTAAATTTTTTCTGCGACTGTCGTTGCGTAGAGAAAAAAAAATGAAACTCGGGCTTCATATGTCATAAATGTCGAGGAATAATTCTAAGCTGATTTTATTAAGAGTACAAAAATTATTTCATCGCTTCTTTAATGAACCACGTTCGAGAGCTCCTTGCCAATGCGGTTCTACCAACAATGTGAATACGGCGTTAAAGTGGCACTAAAGTGGTTTCTGAGGTCGTTTATGTATGGCCATAACTCGATCTACAGCTTCTAAGTCTTTTAAAATGTCCCAAGATCAGACTGATACGCGTCCGACTTTCCCGTTAATATCGGGATCAAAGATCGCGATGAGCTTGTTTTTTTCTGGGATTCGGCGCAGAAACCAGAGCAGTGCTGCCGAATCGTGGGAACTTTCTGGCAAACATAACTCCAGAGGACAACGGGGAACTAAACTCGAACACACGTAAGATAAGAAAAAAAAATTATTTTAAGAAATTCTTATTTGACGCGCGTTCAAATTAAGTTTATCTCTACCCCTTGGCGTGAGGCTTTCTATACAAGGTTGCAACTTTCTCACGATTCGGCAACACTGAACCAGAGGGCGCCATCGGACGGGCGACAACCAATCGCGAAAGATCGCTTCTCGCGCGGAGAGGGCGCCCAATAACGGTGCACTAACTTTCGAATGTGTGAGATTGGCGCACGGGAATCGATCACTCGCGATTGGTTCTCGCACTTCCGATGGCGCTTTTTGGTTTCTGCGCCGAATCACAGAAAAACGGGCGGGTCGCAATCGCCAATCTAGCTTTTAATATAAGAAATTCCAAACGCATACCAATCTAACCTTGGGTTTCTTAGAATGCTTAGAGCTCTTACTTTGAGTTATGACCATGAATAGACCAAGGTGCCTCAATGTCCTTCTGTTTAGGGTGATGACATCCTTAGTATAGTACCCGATGCCGACAGCACGCGCACACGGAAAAAATACAAAGGAATTGCAAATACAAAATGCCGCCGTGGTTGCACAGTTAACTCCAAGAGCGCATCCAGGCAGACGTTCTTTCACGTGCTCTGGAACAAAAAGGAAAGATAGGCGTTCGGAACAAAATGACGATATGTCATCACCCTTAGCAAAGCGCACATGAAGGCACACTGCAGTAGGCGATCTTGGATATCATTTTAATGGCCCCTTAATTAAGCCACCCTCAAAGACTAAGTGTGTTTCATGCCATGTGCGAGCGAAGACGAAGTTATAAACACGAGCATGTCGCCTTGAACCATGCTTGAACAGCGCGAGCACGCGTGCTTGGAATGGACACTGAAAGCCCAGAGCTCGCTCTCTTCTGCTACGCTCGCAGGTAAAGTAAACGGAGTATAGCCCCGTTGCTGTCCGGCAGGCACATCTAGAAGACGCGACCATGTTATGGTGGCTGTATGATCCACGCGATATGACCTTAAAGACGGCACAGTAACGTTCGATTATGCACTTGCTACGTTTGAATCAAGCATCGGTCTCTATCTGTAGATGCCCGATAACAAAACATCTAAAAAAACTTTCAGCCTTCCACTCTGGTGAAGAAGGAAGACCAGCGGAGCCGTACAATGGAAAGTAATGGCCGGCCGTAAGTCGGCAGGCCATAGTGAAAAGGCTGCCGCCATCTATGAGCGACGGCGGCAGCCAGATACGTGGCTTGCCACCGTCGCTCATAGATGGCGGTAGGTGTCCAGAGTTTGGAATCTTCATTTCTTTGCGGGGGACACGATCCTGGGGATACTGGCCCTTAACAGCTCTGCAGTAAAAACTTAAATACAAATAATAATCATGCAGTTCGAGGCCTTAGCGTCCCATCAAACATACCTTTCCGCTTTATTATTTGTATTGCTTTCTTTCATTCCCTCATTGAGCGCGTATGTTTCACGTTACGTGATAGCGAAGCCGAAGCTACTCGCAAAAACGTTTTCCCTTCGATCTTATGGCGCACCATGCACACACGAGGGCG